TTGCCAGCTCGTGCGGCGCGCTCGCCGTAAGTGGTATAGGAGGCTGACAGACAAATGCAACATGCGCGATCGTCACAGCGGCGTTGGTGTGGAGGTGCCGGCCGTGTATGTCGAAGTGCAAGAAGAGAATCGTGCCCAGCCTGCAGCAGATTTGAATGCAGATGTCAGCTGCGCAGAGGTACGTGTGACTTTTGGGACGCTGAACTTGCAAGTGAAGAACCTAGATGAGGGTTTTCAAGACATACTTTGCAAGTGTGATATTTTGTGCTTGCAGGAAGTCACGCCGTCGTGCGTTGAAGATTTGTTGCAGATTGCTCGCAGCCATGGGTACGAAGTTGCCACGGCCATGGGGCGAGGAAGTGTCAGTGCCGAACCCTTTGATGTTGGCATGCTGCAAAAAACTGCCACCATTCGCAAGTTGCGCATGTCGGTGTCTCCCTTGGCACCTGAATCGCCCCGTCGGTTGTTGGCGGTGCAGGTGCAGCTGCGTGGCAACGGTGCCATTCTTGCGGTTGGGACGGTACATTTGACAGCCAGCCCGGAGGGCCAGCCGCAGCGCTTGGCAGAGCTGGAGTCAGCATTGTGTACCTTACAAGCTTTGCAGGTAAACGGTCAGTTGTTGGTTGGCGACCTCAACATGCAAAGAGATGAAGATCTCACCACTACAGGATCCGTCCAATTCCTTGGCGGTGGACTTTCAATGCAGCTGCTTCCGGCCATGCTTTTGTGCAAGCGAGTTTTGCCGTATTGGCTGGCGGGGCAACAGATTGCAGAGTCCTGGAAGAACGGCTGCAAGTGTTGCGCCCGGGCCTGGGACCGCAGGTGTGCCGGCGACCAGGCGCCAAAGAAAAATGCGCTCAGTAGCGGGGAGTTGCTGACATGGCACGGCAATGTTTGCGGCTGCATAGGCCTTTCGGTACAGCAGCAGAAGATCCGATGTCGTTGAAACAATTGATGCAATCGGAAGTGCTTTGCGCAAGCTTTTTGTAGTACAAAGCAGTACTGGGAAGTGCTTTGTGCAAGCTTTGTAGTACAAAGTAGTACTGGGAAGGACTTTGTGCAAGCCTTGTAGTACAAAGTAGTACTGGGCAGTAGTTTGTGCAAGCTTTGCAGTACAAAGTAGTACTGGGAAGGACTTTGTGCAAGCCTTGTAGTACAAAGTAGTACTGGGAAGTAGTTTGTGCAAGCTTTGTAGTGCAAAGTAGTGCAAAGTAGTACTGGGAAGTAGCTTATGCAAGCTTTGTAGTACACAGTAGTACTGGGAAGTGTTTTGCAAGCTTTGTAGTACAAAGTAGTACTGGAATGTGTTTTGTGCAAGCTTTGTAGTACAAAGTAGTACTGGAATGTGCTTTGTGCAAGCTTTGTAGTACAAAGTAGTACTGGGAAGTAGTTTGTGCAAACTTTGTAGTACAAAGTAGTACTGGAACGTGTTTTGTGCAAGCTTTGTAGTACAAAGTAGTACTGGAATGTGCTTTGTGCAAGCTTTGTAGTACAAAGTAGTACTGGGAAGTAGTTTGTGCAAACTTTGTAGTACAAAGTAGTACTGGAACGTGTTTTGTGCAAGCTTTGTAGTACAAAGTAGTACTGGAATGTGCTTTGTGCAAGCTTTGTAGTACAAAGTAGTACTGGGAAGTAGTTTGTGCAAACTTTGCAGTACAAAGTAGTACTGGAATGTGCTTTGTGCAAGCTTTGTAGTACAAAGTAGTACTGGGAAGTGCTTTGTCCAAGCTTTTTGTAGTACAAAGTAGTACTGGGAAGTAGTTTTTGCAAGCTTTTGTAGTAGACATCGGTACTGGGAAGTACTCGACATGAAAATGGGCAAGAAGAACTTAGCAGACATATGGGAAGACATGGAATGAGATGAGAAGAGCTCAGATGAGATGAGTTGAGATGAAGTGCAAGTGTGAAGTGTGGAGTGTGGGGTGTGAAGAGTGCAATGTGAAGTGTGAGGAAAGTGTTTACATTGTACCGGGGTCGCGCGCAGGTCATGTTCCTGGACAGCAACACTGCAACAGCTTCGCACAAAGCACGCACGCACGGGCGTGGCTGGCGCACGGCGCATGCAAGTTCTGTTGTAGTAGTACTGGGGAGTGATTCATGAAAGCTTAGATGACATATGAGAAGAGATGAGATGAGAAGAGCTGAGGTGGGATAAGGTGAGAAGAGCTCAGATGAGATGAAGCGTGGGGTGTGAAGAGTGCAGTGTGAAGTGTGGGGCGTGAAGAGTGCAGTGTGAAGTGTGAAGTGTGAAGTTTGGAGTGTGAAGGAAGAAGTGAGAAGTGTGAAGTGTGGACTGTGAAGTGTGAAGTGTGGACTGTGAAGTGGGAAGTTTGGAGTGCGAAGAGTGCAGTGTGAAGTGAAGTGTTGACTGCGAAGGGTGCAGTGTGAAGAGTGCAGTGTGAAGTGTGTAGTGTGGAGCGTGAAGACTGTCAAGTGTGAAGTGTGAAGTGGAGCTTGAAATGTGACATGTGAAACAAGACACCAGTTTCGCAGAGTGCACGCACGCACGAGCTTGGCTGGCGCACGGTGCATGCAAGTTCTATAGATGAGAAAGGTCTTGTGTATATATATATATATATCTATCTATCTATCTATCTATCTATCTATCTATCTATCTATCTATCTTTAGGGCAACTTCCGCCCTGCCTCGTGCGGGTACTACTGGTAGCTTAATCGCTAATAGCTTAATAGCTTAATAGCTTAATAGCTTATTCTAATAGCTTAATAGCTTAATCGCTTATTCTAATAGCTTAATAGCTTAATCGCTTATTCTAATAGCTTAATAGCTTAATAGCTTATCGCTTATTCTAATAGCTTAATACCTTAATCGCTTATTCTAATAGCTTAATCGCTTATTCTAATAGCTTAATAGCTTAATCGCTTATTCTAATAGCTTAATCGCTTATTCTAATAGCTTAATAGCTTAATCGCTTATTCTAATAGCTTAATAGCTTTTTCTAATAGCTTAATAGCTTAATAGCTTAATAGCTTATTCTAATAGCTTAATAGCTTAATCGCTTATTCTAATAGCTTAATAGCTTAATCGCTTATTCTAATAGCTTAATAGCTTAATCGCTTATTCTAATAGCTTAATAGCTTAATCGCTTATTCTAAAGCTTGATAGCTTAATCGCTTATTCTAATAGCTTAATAGCTTAATCGCTTATTCTAATAGCTTAATAGCTTAATCGCTTATTCTAATAGCTTAAAAGCTTAATCGCTTATTCTAATAGCTTAATAGCTTAATCGCTTATTCTAATAGCTTAATAGCTTAATCGCTTATTCTAATAGCTTAATAGCTTAATCGCTTATTCTAATAGCTTAATAGCTTATTCTAATAGCTTAATAGCTTAATAGCTTATTCTAATAACTTAATAGCTTAATAGCTTATTCTAATAGCTTAATAGCTTAATAGCTTATTCTAATAGCTTAATAGCTTAATAGCTTATTCTAATAGCTTAATAGCTTGAACAGAGTTGCGGGACCATCCTGCGGGCGCAATGCAAAACAATGTGAAACAAATAGCCTCAATTGACCAAAGATGTCCAAGCTATGTCGTTTCTCACTGGTTGGTATCTATGTTTTTTTTCACAGAAAGTCTTACCCAAAAAGGGATGTTGGGATATTAGTGAAATGATGGTCCATGGTATACCAAACTGACCCCGAGGTTCATGGGAACATCAATGAAAAAATAATCTAGAAACGGAAAAGAATGGAGTGGATGTGTTTTTTTCTTTCCAGGCGTTTTTTTTTGGCAAAGGCTACTAGTGATTCACTGATGAGTCTGGAAACTTTGAAAAGGTGAATCTGGGACCCAGAGATGTTGGGTTTTCCCCTTGCTTTCCCAGATGTGGTTTCAGTTGGGATGTGCTCTTTAGAACGATATATATATATATATGTATATATATATATTGTTATATATGTATATATTGTACATATATATATATGTGTATATACATAAATATATAAGTAAATAACTATATATGACTATATATACCTGTATATAATTATGAATATATATATATGTATATGATATACATATTTAATATTATATATTACTATGGCCTTGAGATGCCTTGAGTTTGGACGTGTGCTTCGACCTCAGCTTCCAGACCAGAGCTCATCACAGGGCAAGTGCTGCCTGGCAGCGTCACGCTAAATGACCCACGTCCCAAACGGGGTCACTATGGCGACTGACACAGAACAATTGGGCAAGTTTTGTTCACTATGCTTTGCGTTTTTTCATTCAAATGGATATAAACTGCACGACATAGAAGGGAGAATCACTCTTCAATTGACCCGTTGCCATTTTGCGTCTTGTTGGTCAGTTCTTTACATTACAACCAGGGAAAACAAAGAAATGATAACATTTTGATGGCGACCAAAAGTCCCCGAATAACGGGGCCTGGTTCGAAGCACTAGTAGCACCTTGGGGTGCGGGGGAGGGCGCGTTTTAACAGTAAATGTAGAGTTTAGGGGATATTCAAAAACTATGGCTAATGGATGTTTATGGCAGATATGATATATCTAAGGTCGATAGTACTATGGTACTCATTAGATGCTGATGTATGAATTAGCGTGTTCATGCGGCATGTTTACACCGACAAACACAGCTGGGGGTCACCAGTTTGGACCCACATGGAACCACAAAACCAACAAAATCCCACACGGATAATGGACCCAAAAGGTAATTATTTGAATGTCAATGGTTGATATAAGCGTTGAAAAACAGCTACAGAATTTACATTGATTTTACCACAACAAGTGAACAAAGAACAGGGAAGAAACCCAATAGTATATACAGTAAGTTCTGAGGGTAGACGGTTGAATCATTTCCCAGTATAAAGGTTTGTCTGATAATAGGGTATCCCCAAAATCAGCTGATTCATCATCTTATTGCTGATTCAATAACCTTTATTGGAGGTATACCCCATTTCAGGAAACCCCAATATACTGTTCGCAGGCGACTTTTTCAGCCTTCCTTTTGCAGCGCCTGCGCAGCTAGAGTTTCCTGGCAAATTGCAACCACGGGGACCCGGCAACTACGATTGGTAACTGGGACGTATGTATGCGGATGTACTTCTATGTATGTGTAGTGACTGTATGTATGTGTAGTGTGCATATGTATGTGTATGTATGTGTAGTGTATGTATATGTATGTGTAAGTATGTGTATATGTATGTGTATGTGATTGTAGGTGTATGTAAATGTATGTAAATGTATATGTAAATGTAGGTAAATGTATATAAATGTATGTAAATGTGTGTGAATGTATGTAAATGTATGTAAATGTATGTACATATATGTAAATGTGTGTAAATATGTACATGTATGTAAATGTATGCACATGTTTGTAAATGCATGTACTGTAAATGTGTGTAAATCTATGTACATGTATGCAAATGTTTGCATAAATTTGTATGTATGTAAGTATATACATATGTTTAAAGTTTAAATTATGTGATATACCTATAATCATCCAGAGGTAAGTGCATGGCACCATGATGACAGTCAGTCTCTGTTTACCATCTTTATTCATCCAGGAAGAAAATGTACCAGTAATTCAGGTATGAAGCCTGGGAATTCCTATGGACAGTTACGTACGCACCATGGATGTTTTACATTGACAGTCTTCTAATTAAAAACCAGCCAACAATAAATAATGGACTATTTGCCAAATTTTACAATTAGGATCCATTGGAGGTATGAAGAAAAAAACACGAGGAAGAAAGGGGTTGTGACAGCTACATTTTGCCCACCGACATTGCCTGAAATTTATTGTGTCTGCTGATCACATCAAGCAGTTGGGGCACCCAGTCAAAAAAAACATGAAACACATCATTGCTGATCACATCCACAGATTACAAAGTTAAGTAATGATGAAATTCATGTGTTTCCGACAAATTTCCTGGAAGCCCAATCCACTCTTGCGATGATTCCCCAATCCTAGCAATTGTTGGTGTGGTTTGGTCCGCCAATGATGTCACTATAATTTTCTGATAATGACATGTCAGTTGCCTGTATTGCTGGTTGCATTGCTGGTTCAAACATTGCTGGCCAGCCAAGCCAAAATATGTTGGTAAACACTTGTCAAGCACAATCTTTGGGCTGGTCAACCCCAAACTTCGGCTAGTGAAACTCCTGTTCATGGCTGGTTTAACAAGAATAAACCGACATTTTTGGGATCAGTTTTGGGCAGTTACACCCTTCTTCTTGGTTTATTAGCCCCAAGTCTTTGGCTGCGCAAAACAATTGTCTAACTAAACCCACATGTTGGGCTCAACCTCCTCATTGTGTGTTAATCAAGCAATAGTAAACCATACCCAATTTTACCATAAATGGAAGGTATAAATACGGTATAAACCATCAGTTTATATCTGTGTTTAATGACGTTCATGTCAACATCGGATTAATCAACCCCCCCCACAAGGTCAGATGGACATTGTAAGGTCTTTCCTAGTTTTCCCCCTAAATAAACGGCCTCTGAACCATAAAATTTTGGATATGATTAGATTTGATAAGATTTGAGTGTCATAATCTCATGGAACCCATAAGATTCCATTGGATTTGATAAGATTTGAGTGTCATAATCTCATGGAACCCATAAGATTCCATTGGATTTGGTAAGATTTTGGCTCATTCTCAGCTTTGTGCCAGAAAGAGATTTGATTGCTAAAATCTCACATTGCAGCATGGGATGGCAGTGATGGCATTTGATTGCTAAAATCTCACATTTCAGCACTGGTGGTTGATTATCTGCAGCCATTTTGGCTCATTCTCAGCTTTGTGCCAGAAAGAGATTTGATTGCTAAAATCTCACTTGTCTGAGATTGATGAAACATGACGAGAAACAAAAAGAATTGGAAATAAAAAATGTTGGATAAAAACAATGGGATTTCAGCACAGGGGGTTGATTAATCATGTCCTAGCCAAACGGTTTATTAATCGGGGGTGACCACCTGTTTTTAAATACTTTTTTTTTGGGGCAGAGGGGGTTGATTAATCCCGCGGGGTTTATCAATCCTAACTTGACATTACTTTACAAACAGCAATCATTTTTCACCATTAACAATCACCATTAATTGTCAGTGTTCACCACCATCATTGATCATCATTATTAATCAGAAACCTCTTAAACCATTATAGACACCATCAATGACCCCACATTTTTGGTTCGTTCCAACTGGCCCCATGCGCCAAGACTCGACGCAGCTAAGGACTGCGACACTTCCTTCACCACGCGCTGTGCAGCGTCCACGGCGCCTTCCATGAAACCCTGACACCTGGAACACTCACCGTCGAAGGTCGGGGGGAAGCCTTCCACAAGGCATGGGAAAAAATATGGGGGGTTCCATAGTCATGGAGGGTATACCCGAGATGGTTTATTTCATGAAAAATCCGTTAAAATCAAATGGAAACAATGGTTTAATATCCTCCTTCCCATTCCCTGGGGGGGGTTGGGGGGCCCCATTTTGTAGTGAACCAACCCCTGTCTCTACAAAATGGTTCTGGTACACAGTCTCCATCCTACAAAATGGTCTGTCTATAACCCATGGCTCTACAAAATGGTAGTGCCCGTCACCTGTTTTGATCCACAGATATTTTGACAATTTAGTCCAAAAATGATCAAACCAGTGCATTCATGATTTTATAAAACATATAAAAATCCCAGAGCCATTTTGTAGAGCCTCTATCTTGTCAAGACCTCAGCGTCAACTGCCTTTTTCCCAGTGCCATTTTGTAGGGTTTTTACCCTCTAGTCGTCTCCACTCCTCCTTTTCGGAGGTGGATCCATTTTTTTCATGCAACTTTTGCAGCATGAATATTTTTCTATTTGTTTGCCAACAATGTGCTGGCAATCCTTCTGAAGATGGAAACTTTTTCCGGTTCCAGTATGTTCCAGTCACAAAAACGGTCCCAGAGCAAAAACGAAGATCAGGAGAAGAATGCTATTTTGACACAGATCTTCCAGGGAACAATCGGTATCGAAGTTTGGATAAGGCTGAAGAATCCGAGAAGATCCAGAAGGATCCAGAAGGAACAAATTCAATCACAATTCTTTGCCACTGCTCTTTTCAACACAATCATAAAAACAGGGTCTATCTTCAGACCTACACCAGTCTACAAAATGGTCGACTCTAGGCAGCAGGCCTAACCATTTTCTAGAAAAAACATACCCCATGGGTTATAGACAGACCATTTTGTAGGATGGAGACTGTGTACTGGAGCCATTTTGCAGAGAAAAGGGGTGGTTCACTACAAAATGCTCCCCCCCAACCTCACCCATGAAATGGCAAGGGGGATTTTGAAAGTATTTGGGGTCTAGGGGTTTCTTGTCATATGGCAAGGGGTATCTTTCACAGCACCAACATGCTGTGCGATCAGCACCAAGCATGCGAGGGCCAACATGGTGGGTTACTGGGACGGCGGGGAAATTGAAATGTCCTAAAGTGTTTCCGAGCCAACCATTGCAAACACACATATGCACTTACAAAATGGTACATTTATTGAAACGATGGTTTCTCTACAGAATGGCTAGCTGAGTTTTCTTTGTCAATGACTAACTCACATTTTTTAAAAGCACCAAATCATACCCTTAAAAACATCTACAAAATGGCATTTTGTTTGTTACAAAATGGTTTCTCTTGGTGCCCATGAATGATCATGCCTTCAAAATAAAAATTATAAAACAATGTAAAACCCAAAAATTACTACAAAATGGCATGCTCGACCCCATATAAGGCCAACACTTCCCATAAAATTATGCCATATAGGCACCCCAACCCCCCTCAATCTGTGGAGGAAATGGCAAGGGGGATGGTTTAATGGGATTTTTTTGCACATAATTGGACCATACAATGGGGGTACTTAATTAATACTAGGGGGTTGGGAAAAATGGAGGTGTCCATAGTCATGGGGGGTACCCCAATAGCTGGATGGTTTATTTCATGGAAAATCCGAAAATAAAATGAATGATTTAGGGGTAGCCCATTGACTTACGAAATCCCCATATGGTTCCATAAAATGCTTGAAAATACTCATAAAAATCATCATAAATCAACATGGAATTGTGATATATTTTGACTTGGATATTCAAGTTGCTGCCCCAGTTGGTATTCACAAGGTAAACCACGGTTGCTACCAACGTCGATGCAATAAGGTGTAGCTGTCATTTACAGTGGCTTTGGAGCAACCCCGTGGGATACGTAAAAACACAATTGGGATATCGTTGCCCTGGAATAAACTTTTCGATTTGGGGTCCACGAACACGATAATGATACAACCCACATTGAATCCCATCAAACATTGGACATGGAATTTCTCACACAACAAAGTACATGAAAAAAGACAACTCAAAAATATTCAAAAGTAACATGGACATGATTAAAAGCTATGGCTATGGCATTGTCATGCATACCGTAAGATGCAGGGAACATATATACAACATTGAACAACATAAGTTGAAAACCATGGACACCTACCATGGAACAGTCTGGCCAGGTGTGGAAACTCAGTCTGGAACGATCACACATGGCAGGTGTGGATCAGCGTCGGCAAGATTTCTTGGGCCATGGTGTACCGTCCGGTGTACCTGATCTCTAGATATTATCATATTTATATAGTTCTATATATATTGTATATATGTATCACATTCATGTATACGCCTATCTTATATATCACATTACATACATGTACATCATTAATTATCAATGTGTGTGTGGACATTCTGTATTACACTATATTGAAAAAATGCTGCTCACAGTCTCATACAGTTTAATCGAATCCTTCCCGTCATTGGTTCGAATAAATTCGTTTGGAACTAATTTTATACATGGTGCAAACTTGTGCAAACTCATATTATAGCGCATTGTCTGTCAAGATCTTTGCTTCGAAAAAAACAAATAATTTAATTGTGTCTTTAGCACAGTATCCATGCCAAATTTGAATAAATGATGCCTCCTCCGCACGACATCCAAATCTTCCTGACATAATGCATTGAATCTGTTCCTCTTGAGAGTCCCAATTCTAGGATGATACTGCACCATCATGATATGTGCCATGGTCAAAACATGGTAACAGTATATGGCGTATGGTCATCCCACAACTATTGGGAGTTCCCTCTGACCATCCCCCAATTCATGTTACTTTCAAATTACAGTCTATTGTAGTTGGTTATATGTTATACTGGTTGGTGGTATACCTTCCCCTCTGAAAAATATATTCGTTCGTCAGTTGGGATGATGACATTCCCAATATGATGGGAAAATCATAAAAGTCATGGTCCAAACCACCAACCAGTGGTTGAATATGATCAATCATGACATGAATATCATCAATGATGTTTTTTTTTGACTGGTGAAATGTTCATGGTTCATCATGTTCATACTCATGATCCAATTGTACAAAGAATCCCATGAAACAACCATTCCCATTTACCCAATGCATCTCCGTCATCTCCCGGTAAAACACATCACCATGTTGATGTTTCAGTCCAACTGGTGATTAACCACCGATTGTCCGGCTGTCCCATGGATTGTCCCATGATCAGCATACACAAATGATGTCAATTTTGCTGGCCAGATCCATCTTTTGGAAAAGGAACAGGGGAAATGACAACATATGATAAAAATCCCCCAAAATATGATTTTAAAAAATCAGTTGAGTTACTCAAACATATTCCATTTAATCAATCGATATGCCCCCCAAGTTTCATGAAAAATGGGACATAATCATCCCATGATCATCCCATGTGGCACCTTAAAATGGCTGTTTCATGGATACTTCTTCCAGTCATATGCAAATAAGAGGTACCTTTATCCCCCAAACCTTAAGTAAATATCAATATCCCGTAACATCCCATAATAATCCATCATATCCCAGAATAATAAATAATATCATAATAATAATCCATCATATCCCAAAATAATATATAATATCACAATAATAATCCATCATATCCCATAATAATCCATCATGTCCCATAATAATATAAAATATCATAATAACAATCCATCATATCCCATAATAATATATAGTATCATAATAATAATCCATCATATCCCAGGATAATATATAATATCACAATAATAATCCATCATATCCCACAATAATCCATCATATCCCATAATAATATATAATATCATAATAATAATCCATCATATCCCAGAATAATATCATAATATCATAATTATAATCCATCATATCCCAGAATAATATCATAATATCATAATAATATGTATCCCTATTAAAACATCCTATTACTGTAAATCCCTAAGCATTTCTATTGCTAAGTCCAGGAGCGCCTCTCCGCCGCCTCCGTGCCGGCCCAGTATAAGAGCCCGCAGGGCGTCCGGAGGGCCTGGCTTCATCGATTTCTATAAGCTTTAACTATAGTAAGTATATGCTTTTCATGGTAATTTTATGCAATCTTCATACTTCACAGTAATCTATATAAGTGATTTTTATTGTAGTCTTTGTATTGTAAACTAGTAAGAGTATTTAGTAGGCATACTGAATGTAAAACTACTTAATTGTACTATACTTAATAGTAACAATATTTGAAAATATATTTAATAGTCACAAGTATATTTTATAACTGTAATATATAGCATTTTGCACTATGTATATATATATATATTGTTAATACTGTCTGTGAATATTACATACGTACATATAAATAAATATATATGTATTCATATGTTGGTAGATGCTAGTATACTATCAGTGTATGTATCGTTAAGTACATGTATTGTGATTTGTTTCTCGTTTCGGTGTCCATTTACTATTTGACAGAGGCACAATATGGTAAACACATGTAAAAAACATGTAAAATCCAATATGTGGGCAAGAATGATGGGGTAGTAGTAACTTTTAACCATAATCGACAATCCACGGGAAGCTAAGGTTTTTCATGCTTGGAACTTGCAATGATGGGGTAATCCATGGCCAAGGCTACACGCCAGAGCCATGCCGCGCCTGCATGTGCGGTGCTAAGGTGTTTGGAGGATAGCAGCCTCTGCGACAGAAATGCCGTGTCACAGCGGTGGCCATGACATGCAGTGAATGGGTAGAAACAGTCGTGTAGGTTGTGTTCAGGTGTGAAAATGTGTACGAAGCTGTATGATAATATATTATATAACCTGTATATATGTAGCATGAGACGACATAGCTGTGTGTGTGTGTGCATTGGCATTTCAAACATCCTCCTCTGCCAAAACATGGAACTTTTTGGACACCACTAGTGGGTGGGATATATCACCCCATTCTATCACTATGATATCCATTATACACCCCATTCTATCACCAAATGACATTGCACTTTATACTCACATTGGCTATATAATGCTATATATATATAATTGTATTAATATTTACTAATATATATATATAATGCTAAATATATATATATATATATTATGTATATATATATAATGTATATGTACACAGACATACACAATTACATGTCTACGTAGCCCCTCGACCTATCCCACTGGAAACTGGCCTACAGGACAGCCTTTGGTGAACTCATCTGCAGCCTTTGGAAATGGTGTGGGAAGATGTGGGACAAGAAACTCCGATTGGTGAAAAAAAACCGTCACCGCTTTGCCAACGAGTTACGCTTTCAATCTCAAAGATCCATGGGCGTTCCATTTAACAAAGATGAATCAACAGGGCATTTCCATTGCCAGGTTGACATCCGACGGTCACTTTGGGATATGGTCCCCTCGATAACCCCCTGGTTCCGTTGTATACCCATGATATTGATCCCATGACACCACCAATTTTGGGTTGGTTCAATCACCATTTTTTGCTGCATAAATCCCAATGTTTCATGGTAAGAGCCCCATTTTTGTTGGTTAGATCTCCATGAAATTCCGATGATAGCCCATTTTTTTGCATGTCCAACATGTCCAGCACATCCCAGCTCCAGCTAAGACACCCAATCCTTCTCCTTAGCCCGGTTTTTTTCGGGGCGTCTCAAATTCACCATATCTTGGCTGGAAAAAAAAGAAATGGTTCGGCTGATTAGGAAGCATATGCGTGTCTCTAAAAATGGAGCCGCAAAATAGTCTTGGATGAAGTGGGAACATGATCATAAACCATTGGATTTTGAGATACCTTATTTTCAAACAGACCCATATCATATCTATTCCCGTGAACATGGAAGAAACGTAACACACTGTGAGCTATTAAACTATCCAAGGTTTACCCAGATTTCAATCACCCCATTCCATTGTATTCCATATTCCATTGTCTGGTTTAGAACATAATTGCCTTGAAAAAACTTGCAATAACATGAGGAAAATTGCAAAGCGAGCAAACCTTGGTTGGGGCGGTTAAGGGGGTATGTCGTTACATGTCGTTGCCTTGAAATTCTTTGGGCCACTGGCCTGGCTGACAGTGGCCCACCTTCACCACATAACTTTCCTATCTCTTCGCTGCTGGTGAGCTTGAGGATTCGATGTTGTGCACCCCGAAGATGGATAATTATTGATAGCGGAAAAAAAACAACAACGTTCGTTTCGAATAACACGTCGGCGATACTTGAGATACACCCAAATGGTCCAAATGGTCCTGTGGTGCCGTTTTCAAAGGATGACACACACAAATCAAGAAGTGTTGTCACTTGTAGGACTGGCATGCAGCATGGACGACCGTTCATAGCATGGCCCCTGCACAAGGATTTCTGACTGCACATGGCTCAAGAAAAGGGCAGACTTTTGCACCTGCCTTTCGCAGGTTATGAGCCCAACCCTGTTGGGTTGGCGCGCTTCGCCGGTGGCGTAGGGTCGCAATGGACCGAAGACGCCGACAGCTGGGTGGAGGCGAAACGGCGGACCAAAGGCTGGACCGTCTGATAGAGATGGAAAGGAGGTCAAAGCTTCTGACCCCGGACGTGCCTGAGGTGAGACGCCTCAAGGTGGACGAGGGGGAGATGGCTGCTTCGGGATCGGCTCCTCGACCAGGTGATCGTCATGGAGAAGGTGAACATGGAGCAGCTCAGGAGCGGAGGATCCCTTTGCAGCTTGAAGCAGAGGTACCAGCACAGGATGGCCTACTCGCGCCACTGTTCCAGGAGTTCGGACGAGAAGATGTCCAGGGAGCTCATGGAGTTTTTCATCGACGACTGGATGAGGATGATGACACTCACCCCGCAGTTGCAGTGGAACAAGAACCTAGCGTTGCTGGAGCTGGACTGGAGCTGGCTCGGAACCTTTCTAGTGATGCTGGCCGGGAACAAGGGTTCGTGCACCGTGATGGAACGTCCTTGCTGGTAGCATCTACTGGCCTGTTTGGCCAAGAGCGAGGTGGTGCTGGGTTGATGGCAGTCCCTCCTGGAGTCAACGCCTTCTGGAGCGCTGGAGTTCAACGAGCTGCAGTTCTGGAGCAGGTCGCTGATGTGGCAAGACCAGATTCCTTGCCGCCTCTTGCAGGGGCACCTGTGACGTTTGGCCCTGCTGGCTATGGGGGTGCTGGACATGGTCATTCTGGTGCGAGCCCTGGGCAGGCTGCTCGCGGTAGTGCTGGTCTTGAGCAGGCCCTTGGTGCAGGAGCTCTTCATGGGGGTCCTGAGCAGGCCCTGGGTGCAGGAGCTCTACATGGGGGTCCTGTGCAGGCCCGTGGTGCTGGAGCTCTACATGGAGGCCCTGGGCAGGCCCGTGGTGCAGGAGCTCTACATGGGGGTCCTGAGCAGGCCCAAGGGACGCTGAATGGCGCAGGTCCTGTGCAGGCCTTGGCCATTGGGACGCTGTCTCAACCGTCCCCAGAGAAGTCTGTCGAGGAGTTGAGATTGCGCATCATGAAGGAGGCCGAAGAGAGCTTCGTTAGAGAGGCGAAGAAACTTCGTGGAGAAGAAGGTGAAGGTGGGGAGATTCGGTCCTACCACACAGCCTCAAGTGGAGCTGGCGCAACTACAGGGTCGGTGCTTCCGATGCCAGCCTTGCAGGGGTCGGCAACTACACCTTCACTGACTATGCATCCCGCTGGAAACCTAGCACCTTCTCATCCTGCTGAACGTGGTCAAGTTGGATTGGATGGACATCAACATGGCGCACAAGGTGCTGGTCAGGGATGTGGGCTCACTTGGAGCCAACCGGTGTCGCCGATGGCAGTGCATTCACCTGGAATTCCTGGTGGCCAATCTCCTGGACTTCATGGCAGAGCAAGTGTTTCCTACTGTGGTCTTCATGCTGGTGGACTTTGTGGGGGCATGGGATCCACGGCGAACTCACAAGGGTATGCTGCTGGGCCAAATGGCGGTGGTCAATTCACTGGTGACTGGAATGCCTCAGGCCCTATGGCGTCTTTTGGAGGTGGTGGCACATCAGGAACTACCTCGGTGGTGAGACCGCCTGGACTTGGAGGACCAGATCAACAACCAGGAGTTGCGTCACCTATGGAGCAGCTGAGAGGCTCTGATCTTCCTCTACTTCCACAGCCGGGTTCAGAGCAGTCGGCATTGCAGTTTGGAGACTGGATCACGGTGGTCACTCCAATGATTGGAGATGTGGCTGGGTCAGCCCGTGGATGGTGGAGCGAAATCTTGAGGGAAGCCTCAAACCTCTATGACCGGTGGCTCACATCGACTCCCTTGGAAAGGATCCGTCTTCGACCTTTGGAGATCCAGCGCTCTGAGGCGCACCTACGCTTGGAGCAGAGGGTGGTGCCGATGCTGCTGAAGTGCATCCCGGAGCTCATCAAGCAGGACTTGATTGCCAGCCGAACTATGACGGTGACAGGCATCATGTACAGGCTGTGGACTATCTTCCAACCGGGTGGGAGCTCTGAAAGGGTGAGCATCCTCAAACAGCTCACGGAACCAAAGGTGGCAGCTGGCGCACCCGACTTGCTGGGTGGACTTCGAAGGTGGAGAAGATTGATGTGCAGGTCGCTGGAGTTGAATCTAGCGCTGCCGGATCCGGTCATCTTGGGTGGAGTTTTGCACCGCTTTGCAGATGCGTTGGGAAGGCTTGGTGGGACGCAGCTGGCATACCGAGTGGCTTCGGTGAGGCAGGAGCTTGGGGTGGACATCAGGCCTATGGCCCCATCCATCGAGCAGTACGCCGAGTACCTTCAGTCTGAGGCGGAGGAACTGAGTCTTGGGATTGGCTTGAAGGCCACGACGGTTGGAGCTCAGGGGGCCACGTCACTGAAGGCCATGGCTGGGTTGGAGGTGCCAACATTGACGACGAGTGCGCCTACAGGGACTACTTCGAAGTCTCCATGCAAGTTTTGGAAGACCCCTGAAAGGTGCAAACGTGGGGCACAGTGCACGTTCCTTCACGAGACGTCGGACATGAAAGGTCGGTGCTTCAATTGTGGGAGCTCGGCGCATCTTCGAAAGGACTGCACTGCCAAAACCTCATCTACTTCGACTTCTACTTCAACCCCATCGGCTGGTCCGATGGGTGATGGCTCACAACCCAAGAAGGTTTCCAAGGTGAAGGCGACGCCTAAGCCGGCTGTGAAAGGTTCCGCCGGGGACTCTCAGAAATTGAAGACGGCTGGTGGAGATGAGTTGAAGCCCAAAGAGGTGACCAACACAGCCTCTGGTGGAGCTTCGGAGGAGACACAAGGTGGAGACTCCACCACAACGGAGCCAATGGGTGAGCCTTCAACAGAGGCGGCGGCAGAGCTGATGCGAGAAGCTACAAGCCTCCTGAAGTCCATCAGGTCTTTGAAGGCCGTGCGGATGAAGTCCGTGGGAGAAGGGAACTTTGGTGGACCTGGCGAGTACGCCTTGTTGGATGGAGGTGCCACGCATGGGCTTCGACAGGCCAAGCCCGAGGAGGAGCCGGACTTGATTGCCACGAAGGTGGAGCTGGCTTGTGGGTCAACAGTGCTCTACAAGCACCCCAAACATCAGACCTTGCTCAGCAAGGGGCCGGTGGAGCCTATCATCCCTTTGGCATGGCTGGTGGCGGCTGACTACAGGATCACATGGCGCCGAGACAGCATTGTGATCCATCACCCAACACGGGGGCCATTGAAGTGCAGCTTGAGGGGTGGTTGCCCCGTGATGCCTCGAACTGAGGGTCTGGATCTGCTGGCCGATTTGGAGAAGATGCAGCAGAACGATGTTGAAGTCAGAGATGATGAATTGAATTGGTGGGCGAATCGCTTTCCACAGGTGCCATCTTCAGTCTGGAAGTTTATGAAGGGGCAGGGCGATTCGTGGCGGGATCATGCAGCCAGCCTACCTTGGAACCGTCATCGACGACGAAGGCTATGGCGCTCTCGTGGGGTCATCCTGCACTTGTTCTCTGGCCGGAACTTCAAGCAGTGGGCTGAACTTGAACAGGAGGGCTATGTGGTCCTCACCATTGACACTCTCCAAGGAGTTGATCTACATGAGGCATCGATCTGGGCCTTCATCTGGGAGTTGGCCTGTGCTGGAAAGATTGCCGCGATCCTGGGCGGACCGCCTTGCCGTACAACTTCAAGGCTGAGGCAACGCCAGCCGGGACCGCCACCTCTGAGGGGGCGAGATGGATGGCGCTTCTCTCTGGAAGGTCTTTCAACATGGGACCTCCACCGGGTCAACTCAGACACAGCCCTGCTCTTCAAGCAGCTTGGACTCTTCATCAAGGCTGAGGAAAAGCGCATGCAGATTCCAGAGCTTCAATCGCTTCCCACTGCATTTGCGTTGGAATCTCCAGAGGATCCTATGGCCTACTTGGGGGCTGAGGCGGCACACAACCTTCCGTCCTTTTGGAACTTCCCTGAGATGAAGGAGATGGTCGGACTGGGGGGCCTGAAGTTGGTGAGCTTCGATCAATCCCAGATGGGGCATGTCAGAAGGAAACCAACTACGATCCTTGGGAACTTGCCTGGAGTGGAACAGTTGGATGGCTTGAGAGATTCATCTCGGCGAACAGATCCACTACCAAAGGGTCTGCAGGAATCTATGGAGGCTTCAAGGGATTGGGCGAGCTGGGCACCTGGTTTGGTGATGGCACTCAAAGAGGCGCTGAGGGCTTATCTTCATCAACGAAGTCAATGCCTGGCTCAGCGCATCCACAAGCTGAATGTTGAGGAGTGGAAGCAGCATGTCAAGGCGCATCATCACCCATATCGACGAGATTGCCGTCGGTGCATGGAGCTTGCAGGAGTGGACAGCCCACATCGGAGGTCGCATGCCGACAGCTCAGCCTATGTCCTTTCGATGGACCTGGTGGGACCGTATCCGGTCGGAAGGGACGATGGTCGTCGACGAAAGGGGAAGTACATCCTGGTGGCCACAGTTCCTTTGCCAATGCTGGACCGTGTCAACATGCAGGAGAAGGCAGAGACGGCCGAGGAGGACGTGGATCACAGCTTGGATGGTCATGCAGGCGACCAACATGGGGCTCAACCTCAACCACGACCTGATGAAGAAGATCAACCTGAGGCTCATCAACATCAACCACAACCAGAAGAAGGAGTGCTTGTGGAAGAGGTGGACGAGGAGCAGCAGGTGGAGATGGTAGATGACGATGCAGTGAAACGCCTGAATCAGGCATGGATGGAGCACATCGACGGCCTGAAAGGGCCAGTGGGACTTCAGAACATCACGCTGGTCGAGGTCCTGGAGTCCAGGCACATTGCACACCTGGTGGAAGCCACAAGCAGGGTGTATGGGAGATTCCGTGCACTCGGGGTCCCGATCCTGAGGGTCCATACTGACCGTGAGAAGTCCTTCCTGTCAAAGCCGTTCCAACGCTGGTGCTCTAGCCACTCCCTCTACCAGACCATGACGAGTGGCGATGACGGACCTGCCAACGGACGGGTCGAGGCAGAGGTGGGACAGATCAAAAGGAGGCTGAGGGTGCTCTTGGCGACCTCGAAGCTGGAGCTGCAGGACTGGCCTGGGGTGGCACGCTGGGCTGGAGAAGAGAGGCTTCGGATGCAGCTGCAGAAGGTTGGAGTGCCTTCAAAACCCATGGTTCCTTTGGGGGAGCGCGTGGTGGTGAAGACCAAGCGCTGGCACAAGCAGGGTCCATTGGCAGCTCCTTTCAAGTCAATGGTTCTCATGGGACCAAGTCCAAACATGACGAATGGCTGGGTGCTTCGAGATGGACGAAAAGTTCAACATGCACGGGCAGTGGTGCGCCCAGCAGAGGCAGGGGAGAAGGCGGTGATGGAGCTCTATGATGCTTCCACCAGAAGGGTGACAGGGAAACAGCCTCCCTATTTGGAAGATCGGAAGGTTCCTCAACCTCTTCAACATGACGATTTACCTCAACTTCTGCGAGAAGACCTGGCTTTGGATGACTCCCATGATGTTTGGGGGGAGGTTGGAATTGCAGATCTGGGGGAGGACGTGCTCAGTTTGGGCTATTCTCCTGATGAGTTTCCTGATGATCCTTCTGGAGACCAACTTCAAGATGAAGGCGAAGGTGGAAGTGTGGATGCGGAACCTGCCCTACGTACAATGTGGGCAGGGGGGGAGTCCAACCCCACTTCAAGGGCTTCAAAGGAGGCTATGGGGGCTCCAAATTCGCCAGCTTCTTCCACAACAGCCTCAACTTCAAGGGCACTGAAAGAATGTGATGGTTGTGGACTTTTGCAGCCGGATACCGAAGACTGCAACCTTTGTGGTGAATCTGCGAGATTGAGTTCCCCCTCACAGTCGGGCTTAGCATCTCTGGCTTTGCAGGTGTCTTTGACAGCGGGCTTGCATGGTGCTGGAACTACATCAATGCAGGTGTCTCCACAATCGGGCTTGCATGGTGCTGAAACTACATCAATGCAGGTGTCTTCACCATCGGCCTTGCATGGAGCTGGATCTACATCATTGCGGGTGTCTTCACAGTCGGGCTTGGATGGACTGCCGGACCTCAACGACATGGACGCTCAACGTGGGCAGGGTCCTGCAGGCGAACGGGCTTGGGAGTCTGTAGAGATCCACAACCTTGAGGATTTGGTGGACAGTGCTCATCGTGAACATTGGGGATGGAAAAAACTTTGGGAACAGGAACTCTCTAGAGAAGCTGTGGGGGCCGAGATCGGTTTGATCCATGGCCAATGGCTGCAGTTCTTGGAGGGCCAGGTGAAGAGCCTGGAGGAGGAGTTGGCACTGGTTAGCACTTCGACCTTGAACCAGGAGACCGCGAATTGCAGGATTGCAGCACTCTCCCAGGGTATGGATGCTATCGTGGATGATCTGGAGCCTCTGGACAAACCTGAGCAGGCTCGAGCGGTGCTACAAACCTATACAGTGTCGCTGGCCGAAGTCAAGAAGGACATCAACTTGTGGAAGGAGCCGCTGCAGGCCGAGATGGAGGCTTTGGTGAGCTCTGGAACGATTCGCCGGGTGAAGGTGGATCAGTTGGTGCATGAGCCTGGCTACGACCGGATGGAGGTGGCACCAGCGAAGATTGTCCCGACGATCAAATCACCCTCGGGAAAGCGGAAGGCGAGAATCGTCATCTGCGGCAACATGGTGCATCCTGCTGGGCATGTGAAACCTTCACAACTTCCTGATGGTGGAGTTCATGGTTGTCATCGACCTCATGGAGCAGCATCACCGGCAGTGCAGAACCTCGGGGATGGGAATGACCCGAATGGGGATGGATCCGAAAGGCCTGGAGGTGGTGGACCGGCCGCTGCCGCAGATCTTTATGCGGGTGGTGTTGACTCTACTTTGGAGGCGTTTGGGACTTAGGTGACTTAGCTGGCACTTAGCTTTGACTTAGCTTAATGTCTTGTTGATGGCTTGTTAAGTAGAAGCTAAGTGGAAGCTAAGTGGAAGCTAAGTGGAAGCTATCTTTTTTATACGTTTTTTTTCGATTTTGGATGTGTAGAGGGTTTTCTGGTTTTAAGGGTTTTTTTTGTGGAGCAAGTCAGCGAATTGGCTCGCATTTTAGATCGAAACCACATGGAGAATATATTGCGTGAGATAAATTGATGCTTTGCATCACGTTTGAAACAAATGGCTCAATCATGCAACATGCGCGTGGCATTCCAGAATGAATTAATGATGGCCCGTAGCCATTGCACGCTTTAACATCAGATTCTAAGAAGCTTTTCTTAGCGCGTAGCTATCTTGCCTGCTGTGACTATCTCAGCAGGCAGAGGTGCCATTTGCTTTCACGGATTAAGTACATTGGCTCGTGGCCAACTGTTCGAGATAACGGCAAGAGTGCCAATTTTGAATTGTCATCACACTTCCACTGAGGAAGTTTGCTATGTGAATTAGTGGCTTTGGATAGAGAAGTGACGAGCAAGAACATACTGACATCGTTGCTGACAGCACCTTGCACTTTGACACAGCAGTCATTGGAGAGGATCAAAAAGTTGTTTTTCGCATATTTGACGCAGTGATATTCAATTTCCGTTGAAAATTTTGAATCCTTGGGCAGGCCAACCACTTGGGCGCAAGCAGGGTCAGCACGTAGCTTTCCCAGAAGACGGCCTGTGTACGCCTCCATGTCTTCAGCGTCCAGCAGCTCCATTTGGGTCAACTGCAACAAGCAACTCTTGCTGAATGTATTCAAATTTGTCATCTTGGGAGCAACTTGGCTCTTGAAGATGCGGTGTTTGCGTTCCCCAACGAAGCAATCTGCGTGCCGACCCCAACGGAGGACTTGCCTCCAAACATGTAGAGCGTAATGAGCTTTCGGACGTGTCAATGCCGCGTCATACGCGGCTTGAAAAGCGGTCATATGCGCTTGCTGCAGAGATACTAGACACTTCCCCTCGGCTGGATTCCATTTCATTCTCTGAAGGCACTTTGTTACAGCATATAATGCATCCAATGATACAATGGCTTCCTGCATCTTTTCATGCTGATGCAAGATTTCCTGACTAAAGGCCCAGACAAGCGGCAAAGCAATGGCACAAGCAGACGCGTCACCACGAAAATCACTATCCTCTCGAAAGAGATGTTCTGTGCAACATTGCGCTGGACTCACGAGTGAGTCCTTCGTCGTCTTCCAGCCAATGGTGAAATATTTTTGCAGCACAGACAACGAGAAGCCAGCTGAACGGTAGCGACCAAACCACAATCCAAGCTCTTGCGCGATGAGTCCATGTGAGTAGTACTGGTGCATGGTGTCGACCAGGAGGCCGTCCAAGGAAATCCATGGCTTCAGCTTCTCGGAGGCAAAAATGGAACGCCGTAACTCACGGGCATTCCAACCCAGAGCAACCTCTGCCTGAGAGAGACTTTGCTTGGTTGCACATCCATCAAAGTGACGCCGGATATCGAGAACCCCGGCATCCGTTTGCCGCATGAACTTGCTTGCGTCCATCTCTTGGATGGTGACGTAACTCCTTGGACACGATCTGCCATTTGACAAAACATTCACACAATGTGCGCAAGGATTTGCGCCAGCAGCACCTTTGCTGCCACTGATCGATCGCATACCTTCGTGATCATTCAACAGAATGACTTCCCGAATGAATAACATTTCGGCATGGCCTTTGATTGAAACGGCAAAGCCATCAACCACCTCGTCGAAGACATGTTCCACGATCCCCCTTGTCGTCTCGGCGAAGGAACTGCCAGCATCAGAAACTTCGTTCGATCTGATCAAGGACAATGGCAGCCACAGACTTTGGACATGAAGCAATGGAAATTCCCAGAAGGTGAAGTACACCAGGTTGCTTTTGCGCGGATGACGCGCCGCCAATATGTTCCCTGGGTTCGCTTCGTCAGAAAAAATGAGCAGCGTTAGCATATTCCCATTCGTCCTGATCGCTTCTGCCAACATGTGCGCAAACAAAGCGCATCTATTCGTCTTTTCCTGAATGAGGTCTGGCAATGTGTTAACATAGACGACCAGCTTGGACTCCTGCAACGTCACTTCTCGTAGAAGTGCCCCCGCCTCTGGATATTTCAAGTGCTGCGCGCGGCACGTAGCCTGTCCTTGCTCATCGTCACGCAGCAAAGCTATGACTCTTCTGCAATCAGCTTGGCTCAGGCCACGTATCTGCCGTAACGCCTGAAATTGCTCTGCAGGTGCGTCCTCTGCGTTTAGTTTGCGTTTCATAACCTGCTACTTTCCTCTGAGCCACATTCTGCATGCAAGAGACTATATCAAGCATTGAAACTTTCCCTACTGTTAACTTTCTTCTTTGACCCGACCTAAGTATGCACCCTGACCAATGTGAAAACCAGGAAACACTGTTATGTTGTCATGTCTTTAAAATCTACCACAGACGCCATTGCTTTCTTTTTGCCCATCGCGCGACATGTCCACTTCGCGGCCTCCCCCCATGCCCATTGCCGCTGCATGTGCGCATTGCATCACCTATCACACAAAGTCCGTGGGTCACGCCACGGTTATATGATCTGCAGAAACCCGTCCCGAGAGCTCGTAGCTCATGGAGCTTTGCACCGGCGTCTCTTGGCCGGCTGCACCTCCGTATCTCCTCCCTCGCCCCCCGCGGGCTGCTTGACTGCTGCCTTGGCCGCAGCCTTCGGACGCGGCTCCTTCTTCGGAAACGAATCCTTCAGAGCCTTCTGCCCAGCTGCACTTTGCTGCAGCAACACCTTCAGATCAGCGTGGTCGAATGGTAGCGGAATCAGAGACGCCTGCTCCACGTCTGAACCGAGAGACTTGTTTGCCTCTTGGGCGTTCACAGCGGCGCGCGCTGCAGCACCCCAAGTCTTCACTTTCTCCATGGAGTCTTGACATAATTGCAACGATTGGGGCTCCAACGCATCCACGCCGTCAGCCTTGGCCAAGAGCTTGCCCAGAGAAGTCTCAGCAGCACAGAGTGAGCCCATGGCTCTGGCAGCCATGGCTGCAATCTTCACGTTACTACTCACAACTTTCTTCTGCTGAGCCGCTTGGGCCTTCTTTTCCTTCCCTTCTGACTTTGTTGCCTGCTCCATCTCGGGAACATGTAACTCTTGGTCTGCATTGCTCTTGCTTCCCTTCTTCTTCGATGCTGCCTTTTCTTGTTCCAAGACCTTAGTCTCCACAGCCTCATGGGCTTCCTCCCACCGCAGCGTGGCGATCGGCAGTTCGTGTACATATGTGCCATACTCGTCGGACCACTTAGGTTCGAAGCGATCGATAACCGACTCATGCCACCCACGCTGCTGCCAGACCGACTTAGGCAAGGGCTGCTTCTCAACCGTGGAAGAAAATTTGCGAATCTTCGCCTCTGTATTTTTCTTAATCCAAGCGGACCGAATAGTGCTCCACTTCAGGCGACCCTGTTGCGGTTGCTGCACGGCACGGAAGAACTCATAGGTTTCAGCCTGGCTCCAGTCAGCCATGTCCGAGGTAGTGCCCAAGTTTCTCCTGACCATTTGTTCTATGTTCTTGCACTGGCTGCACGTGAAATTTGTTCCATGCTGCCTGCCTTGTCCTTCCTCGTAGGAAAATCCGCAGCCTTTGCAGAGCTTAAGAGGAGCCGCGTCCGCCATGGCTGCAGAACAGGGTCAAGTACTCGGCACCGGTCCCTGCGATCCAACTGCGATAGAATCGAAATCAAAGAACCTGAGACCTACATATAGTCCTTTTCCGATTATGCGTTTCTCTTTCTGCATGCGATTCATTTTCTCGAAACTGAACGAAATTGCTATTCTTCCGCCCTCATTCCGCACTCATTTACCCTCCGAAATCCACCCTATGCCGCACTCATTGCACTCATTTTATTTTCCCATATGTAATGTAATTCTATATTCGCATTCTTCTCGCACTCAAACTATAGGTGCGTTAACATATCATACAGTACTTCCGCACTCAAACAAGAAAGCAGCGCTTTTCCACATCCTAACGGATCGCACTCATCCGCACTCCTTTCGCACTCATTGCAGCTAGCACGAATTTCTAAACGCCATTCTCTTCACGTCCACCCTCCAGCTGCATTGCTGCTCCTAGCCGCGCTGCAATGTCTCCACACATTCGCTTCACCAAATCAATGGCCAATAAGCACCAGAGCATTATATGTCTGCAGGTCTGTCGCTTGGACAAACGATGCACAAGGACACATAGAAGATGCTTCGTGCGCATTGCGCTCGCATGCAAAAACGCATCCCCTCCATGGATGCGGCGCCATCCATGAACATTCACTTTGTACCGCGTGGGTACCAGTACCATGTCACTTTCCACCCCATGCGGACTCAGATCCGTTGCTCTTGCTCCCCAGATACAGAGATGACACAGACATTGCAGTCTGAAGAGGACCACGTGGGTCCACGGCTGACCATAGCCAGCCGCTGCCCAATCGCTCACACAGTGCAGTGTGCTCATCACAGAAGCCCACCTGTCCTCAAAGTCTTGCCGTGACACTTGCGGGAGACAGTCTGCCATGCATAACATCACTTCGTCGAACCCACGTAGGGACATTTGGAAAGTCACATCGCGAGCCATGTTGCGGAGACGTGCGAGAACAGATACTCAGATCTATGAAACGGCTGCGGCATACACAGACGAATCCAAGTAACTATCTAATCAGGCTGCCAGTGCGCACTTGTCCTGCATTTTCCAGAACTCACTATATTTAATATGTATATATATGCATATACGACAACATGCATCTACAAATATAACAGCTTGCAACCTATAGAGTCTTGATAGAGCAGCAGCGCAGAACGCTCCTCAGAGTGTTTTTTTCTCTCCAGGCTTTCATGGCCTCAGGCTGGTCAGTACGCCTTCAAGGAGGAGCGGGGAACCTGAATCCACACTTTCTTATCGCGGCCCGTAGCCTTGCGATCTTCCTCATCTCCATCAGAGTCACTTGGAGGCTTGCGACGGCTTCGACGCTCCAAATGAGGATCTGGCGACGGAGACACTCGACGATGCCGACGCCTGCGCTTCTTCTCCTTGCCCTCCTTGCGATCCTTCTCCCGGTCCATAGACCTGCGCTCCATTTCCCCCTCCAGTTTCACCCTGTGAGCTGCAGATCTGGCTGGCAAAACTTCAGGGAGGTCTGGTGGCTTCGGTGCCTTCTCGTGGACGCACTCAGCGTCCCGCTGGGCCTTCACAGTGGCCGCCCGATAGCCAGCGTCACGCCATGTCCAGCCCCCTTGGTACCAGACTTGATGCTGGATGCACCATTCACTGAACCACATGTGCTGGCTGAGTCCTGAGGATCCTCTTGTTTCGGACACGGACTGCTTGCAGTACGGACAAGTCACCTGATGACGTCCCCATCGTCCCCCTTTGTGTCGACTTCCCTCGTAGGGATCTTCATCATACCCTCGCCATCCGCTCGGACGATCCTGGTCGTCCTTACCTTTGCCATGCCCCTTCTCTCCCGCGTAGGGATCCTCTTCGTGCGGATCGCATCCCGCGTGGGAATACGCCCCCGTCAACGTCATGCGTCTCACGGTCCCTGTCCCTGTCGCGACGCGAAGCACGGGGCACCGGGGGCGGGGCAGGAACTGCAGGGACCTCACTCTTGCCACGCGTCCTCGGAGGACTGCTTGGCCTTTCCGCTGTCACTCCAGGCCCTGGCCTCCATGTCCGCGGACCGTCCTCACTTGGAGAAGCGTCCGCACGTCGTCCAGGTGATGCACGAGCGTCAGATTCCTTGTCTTCTTCCTTGGGTGCTGCCTTTGCTTTCGACGCAGTCGCGGTCACCCGCGGACGTGCCGGAGGTTCCGCAGCAGGCTCCGCTAGGTGTGGCTGTGGATCCTCTTCTTCTGTGCAATACGAATACGAGCCATCGTCATCGTCCTTTGGCTTCTTGTTCTTGTCCTTGCCACCCATGGCACCTGCAGAGGTTCGAACGACAAAGAACAAACTAAACGCAACTAAAAGCAGAAACAACATGCTATAATGCACGCCAGTCCGAGAGCCCACCTGCCCAACCCAGTCGTGGAATTATATAGGAGCCCGCAGCAAATTGAGAGGTCTGCCTTGAGCCGGTAAGTGCACACACATGTGTTCATTTTTTTGTATCTCTGATGCATGGACTCATCCCTGATAGCAGAGAATTCAAAAATGAGGAATGCACTACGTCAATACAGACTATGTCATAGTAAATTGTTGACACACTTGAACGGAAAACGGCAGCTTCATTTTATCTCCATGGCTAGACGCAGGGTTGCAAAATCCTTAGGCCACAAATCCTCTCTCCGCCCAGCAACTGGGGGTACACAGAGGTCGATTTCGACACTTGTTGCAGCCGTCCCTATATCGCCGTTTCAATGCGACCGGAACCTTCTTCAAAATTGCCTGCCGAATTTTTTCCCGATATTCTCTGGTGCCAGACGCCTTAGCCTTGGCCTTGGGTCGCGCCTTTCCTTTGGCCTTAGCCTTAGGCACCGCCTCGGTGGATCCCGTAGACCCAGATCCTGCAGAACGCTCTCCCGCAGCAGCCGGACGCTTCAAGGTCTGCTTGCTTGCCGGACGCTTCATTGCAGCAGCGAACTCAGAGTCAGCCACTAGTTGCAATTCATACAACTGAGTCTCCACACTCATCGCCGGAGGCTTTTGTGCAGCCTCTTTCAAGGGTGCTTGCGTCACCGGTAACCCCGTGGGTTCTCGCATCGATTCTTCTCCATCCACGCGACCATCCTCCAGAGCAAGTTGCTTAGGCACCCCTCGCGAAGCGGTTTCCTCGACGCGGCCATCTTCCAGAGCCAGTCGACCCGCTCGCGAACATGCTTCAACCACCTTGCAGATAGCGTCCACAGAGAGTGAGGTGGTATCTGTGCTCGCGGCACTGTGGGTTGCTGCCACAGGCTGCAACAAGTTATGATCCTTGCGCAGCGGCATATTGCGAACAAACTGCATCACATCGAATGCCAACTGTTTATTTGCAACTGGCTTCCCCGTAGGAAACGTATGATTTTTCACAACCGTCGGCACCTCCTCCCATGCCATTGGTAAAGACAATATCATAGTCTCTGGAGCTGGCAATGACAAGTACTTGGTCACCAATGGCTTCTTCATCACATACAAGTTATATTTCTCCTTCGGGGGCATACCCTGATTCAGCTGCGTCCAGTACGCGAGCGCAATGATGGTCGCCTTTGAGGCCTCCGTGGCACTGCGCAAGGTTAATTTTGCCGCATAGGCACACAACTCAAAGAGCAGCTGATCTTTGTCCGTCGAAGGGCATAGAACCCTGGTACTCAATTCCTCGGAAATCAGATAAGGCAGAGCTGTAAAGTCTTGCTGCTGCGTCGGACGCAAGGCATCCTCCAAAACCGCCCGGGTCTTTTGTGCCAAAAGTTGTCTGAATTGTTCCACTTGGGAAGTTGACCAAAGCATTTCATCGATGCTGCCCAGAATGCCAGCAGCTTCCCCGGGCGTTAACTCCTTGACCCTTTCAAAGGCCTTGCTGATGCCTGAGGCCTGTTTCAAAGCAAACTCGTCGTACCCTAGCAGCTGCCTGATTCCTCGTAGGAATCTTTGCGCCGCATCGATCTGCTTCTGACAACTGCCCATTTCCAACCCACTTAGGGTCACCTGCTAAAGCCAAAATGCTACCGGACCACGATTTTGGCCAAGCAAAGCGCATGGTCACTTCCAGTAAGTTACAGCCATGTCAATTTCCATGGTTTTTGATTGCCAAAGTCACGGCTTAGTTAAAAAACAATGTTTTTTAAAAAAAACCTAAGTCCAAGCTAAGTCATACCTAAGTTCTTATCATGAAGTATACTTACACTTAGCTTCCACTTATAAGTGACCTAAACCTGTCTTATGTCAATGCTAACCTACCCATGAGATAGCCAGGGGTTAGCCAACATAGAGACTACTTAGTATAAAGTTAACAAGGTTATAAGTACACTTAGCTTCCACTTATAAGTCACCTAAGTCCTAGAAGCCTCCAAAGTACGGCTCTGAGGTGTGTCCTGAGGAAGGCAGCAGGGGCTTCGTGGTCCTTGGCATCAACGGACGTGGGAGGGGCATTCCTATTGGCTCCCAGATCACAGACCCGACGGCAGCTTCTGGTGGTGGAGCCTCCGCGACTTTTGACCTCAACTGGCTTGGTCTCTGCGGAGGAACGTTGGATCTGTGACGGTGCCATGTATGGTTTAGATACCTCCCCAGCAGATTGGGCATCATTCAGGGACTGCCGCATGTCGTCCTTCCGATGGGAGACTCCAACTCACCGGTGCCACTTAGCGAGATCGCCAGAACCCAACATCTGGTCAATCATGGGGGTTTCCAAGACCAACTACCCGGAGGCAGTCATCAACGATGATGCTCATGCGGATCCTCTTGGCTTCCTCATTGTCTATGTGGATGACATCCTTTGTGCTGGACCTCGCCATGTGGTTGAAGCTTCTTTGGGCCGAATCCGGGATGAGTGGACGTGCTCGGAGGTGGAGTGGGTCAACGAGGTCAAATGGCTGAAGTTCTGTGGGATGCAGCTCAGATGGCAGGGAGACTCCTTGCTCTTGGGTCAGCCTGACTTTGCCCGCGAGCTTCTTGAACGACATGGTCCAGTCCCTGGTCGCCAAGTTCCACTTCCGAAGATTGACATGGCTCCGGATGTGGAGGATAACATTGACCCTGCGGATGTTCGCAGGTGCCAGCAGTTGCTGGGAGAACTCCTTTGGTTGAGTGGTCGAACCAGACCTGACCTTGCCTTCGCCGTATCGACCTTGAGCGGTTGGGTGACCAAGTGCCCCAAAAAGGTTCAGGAGCTGGGACGCTACTTGCTGGGCTACCTGCAGGAGACCTGGGAGTTTGTCTTGACTTACAAGAGCTGTTTGACAGATCAGGGGGAGCCAACAGATGAGCTGATGAAGCTCACCCTCCTGTCGGATGCTTCACATGCCCCACAGGGACTTCGTGGTTGCCAAGGCATATTGGCATTGTGGGGTGGCGCTCTGGTCCAATGGGAGAGCAAAAGGCAACCCTTTGCTGCTCTGAGCAGTACGGAGGCCGAGCTCATTGGATATGTGGATGCGCTGACGGTGGGCGAGTCGCTTCAGGTGATCCTGAACATCCTGGAGCACAACGCCATGATCGACGATGGCCAGTTTGAGATCCGAGGCGACAACCTGTCCGGGATCCAATTGTTGTTGGCGCCTGATGGTCCTTGGCGCACACGCCACCTGAGGCTTAGAAGCTTCGTCCTGCGAGAGCGATTGGCTTCTCGTGAGTGGCATGTGGAGCATGTTCCTGGAGCAGAGCTGGCGGCCGACCTGTTGACGAAGCCTGTGGTGCTGCTGACTAGCTGGGAGTCGTTCCGTAGGACCTTAGGTTTGACCAAGTTTTCCATGCCGGATGAAACATCACGGCTTTGTCGCCTGGCTGAGGCGGTAGTTGCTCTTGGAGGATTGGTGCTCCAAAACGGAGCTAACCAGTTGGTGAAAACTGCTGGAGCTGTTAGCCTGTCGGCTCTCACGGCGTGGATGTGTTGTCATGAAGGGCTGGCATCTATGGCTAAACCAGTTGAAGAAAAAACCCAATCAAGACCAGCACAAGAACATGAAAAGAGGCCTAGGGAAAACGAACCAGGCCCTGCTAACCCTACTGAACCTACTTCCGACTGTAGCCTCACAGGCTCCCCAATCGTGCCTCGCCTTTGTGCTGTGCGTGGAGCCATGGCTGCTGGATCGTGGAGCGGTCCATGGGATGACGCAGAGTTCCAGAGCTTGCCGACGGGAAGCAGTGACCGCTGGCGCAGCTTGACTGGTGGGTGGTGGGTCAGGGTCCACGGTGGACTCCGATCCAGGCTGTACCACCCGGTGCACACAAGCACCCCTGTGAGGTGCGAGCACTTGCAGCCGGAAAGGACGACTGTGGTGTGGCATTGCACCGGTGGTCGACCCTGGACCCGGCAGGTGCACTGCGACCACTGGGGCTTTGGAAGCCAGCCTGTGCCAGGGGTTGGACAGTGGAAGGGCTTCACCTTCTTCAGGATCAAGGAGGGCAACCAGAGTGGGGCCAACAGCTCAGGGTTGCCCAGGATCCGACCTGATGTGGTGACCTGGAGCGAGGAGGACCTACCACCGATGGTGAAGCAGGGTGGCATGTCAAGTGCTTACCCACCACCTGGGGCCAGAGAAAGCACCGAAGAAGAGGAGGCTGACCCAGGGGTTCCGTTTGAGCACGGGATGGTCCAACCTGGAAGAAAACCACCACCTCAGGCTTGGTTCCAGCGACAGAATATGCAGGGTTGGATGAACCGTATGGCCAAACCACCAGCAGTTCCAGTACACCATGCAATGCCAGGACCACCGCCAGCGGGTCCACCACCTCATGGGATGGCGGGATCGCTTCCAACTGGTCCGCCTCCTAGCAGTGCAGGGCAGGGTGGCCTGTCGAGTGCCGATCCACCGCCCGGGGCTGGAGCTGCACCGAAGCCGATGGCTGAGGGGTACTGCAGGCCAACTCATAAGTATGGCCGGTATCAGGCGCCTGCAGAAGCTGAAGGAGACCGTCCTCGTGGCCGACCTGGACCTGGACCTCGTGGAAGAGCCACTATGGGCATTGGTGAGCCGATCGATGCTCGAGAGGAAGGCCGGATGACTTCGGCCGGATCTATGTCGATGGGAGCAGGACCTATGGGGGTCATCCCAACTGGAGCTGGAGATCGACCTGGTGAAAACCCGCTGCTGGCTTCTTTGAGGGTGGCAATGCGACCTCCAGAGCAGAACCCAGGTGGCTTGGCATCGTCGAGCTCTACGGTGATCCCTGGGGAGTGGGCCACACGAGGGGACCCGGGGCTGATTACCCCGCGGGGGTCCGTGGCTGGAGCATGGGCTAACCGGCCTACCTTGGTCGCCAAGGCCCTGGGCACTCCATACCAGGCCGAACGGCGATTGAATCCTCCCCCGGAGGGCTTGGAAGAGGCTGAAAGCTTCCAGGAGGAGGCATTGGAGTCTGAGGCCAACACCAGTGATGATTACTCCCTGGTGTCTGAGGAGGAGAACGTGGGCGCTGCTGAGACTCCCGAGAACGAGGAGGAGGACATGTAGCAGAGCTCCCCTTTTTTCCTTTCTAAGACCAGCCAACGAAGCTTTGGTCTGGCATTTTGCTACGGCCACCGAAAAATGTTGCACCTGGCAACATTGGGGGAGTGTGGTGCCGTTTTCAAAGGATGACACACACAAATCAAGAAGTGTTGTCACTTGTAGGACTGGCATGCAGCATGGACGACCGTTCATAGCATGGCCCCTGCACAAGGATTTCTGACTGCACATGGCTCAAGAAAAGGGCAGACTTTTGCACCTGCCTTTCGCAGGTCCAAATGGTCCAAATGGTCCAAATGGTCCAAATGGTCCAAATGGTCCATATGAGTTAATGGGTCAAGTCATGTCAAGTCCTGTTGAAATGCCGACTGATTTTGCGATGTTGATCCATCCCATGGGCACTGGGGATGATGGCTAGGGCCCCAGGGCTGGAAAATGCTGGTCATGTTGGGTGACAGGGACCACTAACCCTGAACTGACCATGCTTGTCATACTATCTTTGCATCAATTTCATTACATACTCTAGGACTAGGAAACAAAACGACTTATATGATTTGACCAATAGTGACCTTCTGGAAAGGTTGGCCGCTTATGCATCCCATATGCATCCATGTATTGCACCCTTAACAGCCTTACCATAATCCCACCATCGACCAGACGACCGCCCAGGAACGATGTATTCCAGCGCTTCCTTGGCTTCCGCTCCAAACCACTTGGTGAGTTGTTGCAGCAACACAGCACGGCGCTCCTCCTGCATTGGGACGGACTGTTCAATTCATGGAATCCATGGAACCATGTTCAGCTTTGAGGCTTGAACCATGTTGAATAATCATGTTGGTCACAATAATGTTGAATCATCACAATCATGTTCCAAATTCATAAATATTAATAATGTTGAATAGATCGCAAATCCATAAATCTGAGGGTTGGAATCGCCTTCCAAGTGCAAATTCTCCGTGGTAAGTAACATCGCAAGGTTTGATTAGTCACTGGGACCATGAAACCCATGGTCCTGAACACTGATAAAACAGACATGCTTGCTGGTGCAATCCCAATTCTGTTACTGTAAAACATGTTGAAACCAATGTCTTGATGGCTAAATCAATCGCCACTCTTGCTAGCCAATCTATGCTTCACCAGCACTTTTGCTTTGCAAATCCACCTGTTTCTGCTGTGAACAACGGCAGATGTCCTCACTTCGTTGGCTCCACCTTTGCGCCGGCGCGCCGTTCATGAAACACACCAGGAAGTAACGATCACCTGAAGGGGCAAAAGACAGCTATCGCGGATGATTTCAACCAATTATACCCAACATTGTTGTTCATATGGTCAAGTAAAATTCATTATCTTAAACAATATTACATACCCATGATAGAGATGGTTGGTTCATGTTGGTTCGATCCTTAATCAATGATAAACTGGCGTTGGTAGTTTTGAATGGTGAGGATGTCCCAAGCCATCAACACATACCACCCAATCATTGGTTGATGATTACAATATGTACAAACCCGGGGATCGCACAAGTATTACGATCTTGTACTTTAACATAGCTATGGAAAATGGTCCGATTGTATATGTTTCACCTATCAAACATGGTGATTTGCCATAGCTATGTGAGTTTACCGGATGATATATGGTGTTTTGCCACTTAGCTTGCTGCCAACTCTATAATCAACTTGAAACTCAGGGCCATAATCTATGTCAAAAAGCATACATGTTGTTGATGTTCAGATAAACGCTCAGATGACTTTGCTGCTTCCAAATCAAACACATCGTTCAATATCCTTTCATCAAAAACTATGTTATTCAGCGATCCCTTCGCCTTATTGTATCAAATACCCTCAAGCAAAATCCCTGGAATTTACTCATAAATACCGGAAATCCAACATGGCTAGCTAGGAAAGCCTCGAACTCGATGGAGGTTTCTAGCTGGGAAAAATCTCCCATAAATGGACGATGTTCCAGCAGTTTGATTGCCAGAGGATAAATCCCATCATAGAAATATCCCAAGTATCGAAAATTATCAATGACCATTATCAACCATTATCAACCAATCATTAACCCATAACCCAAAATTACAGTTGAAACGTGATTCACCATGATTAACCACCTTTTGTCCATCCCAACGTTACCATCTTAGAATCTTTGAACTCCATGCCCTCCACGGCGCCCAAGCAGTGGTCGTAGCAGTTGAAGCACGGCTCTTCGTCAGTGGCTTCGGCCACCACCTCCCAGGCACCGTGGACAAAGCATGGAGGATACACCAACAAGGGTGTAGGAACACATTAATCAAAAAGGTGATATGTATGATGTGTATATATTATATATATATTATATTTACATTATATATATTATTTTTACATTATATATATATTATATTATATATATATCTAATAATACAGATTAAAAATAGATAGATCGATATCGATACTAATAATTACTCATACACAAGTTGTGGTTGAAAGATGTTCAACCCATTCAGTCAAAGCATTCGGGTGGGGGTGTCAGCCATGAACCCATTCCCGTGGTGTCTCACTGGGAGTCGATGTCTAAACCAAGGGGATTTTTTGTACCCCAAATCATGGCCGTTTTCATTGGAAAATGATATGATAAACATTGATACCCTCTGGTAATTTAACATAGCTATTGAACATGGCCATAGAAATAGTGGATTTTCCCATGAAACATGGTGATTATTCCATGGTTATGTAAACGTTTACCAGAGGGTAAATCATGACATTTGTGGAGGTCTCCAATATTATCAAACGACATCAAACAACACCATATCATTGGAGCTGTCGAAAGGATAGGGACATCATAGCCTGTTTGACCGAGAAACATTGGAATATACCATAAAACATGTGGATATATATCGTTGGCGGCTGTTTGACCAAACATGGCATAATCTACCACAACGCGCAATTCTCTCTCATCAACACAGGGTACAAATGAATACAAATGACATATGCCACCCCCTCAAAATATGTAGAAGACTGTAGAAGGGCATGATAATGGATTTACTCGCTAAAACGCCCGCCACGACACGATGCTGGTTTCCCAGTAACTCTCGGCAACAACCCCTCGCAGACTTCATCGGGGTCCGTTGAAAAAGAGAATCATTTTGCGCGACAGGCGTGGGCTCCGGGCAAACGTCCGGTGTTGTGCGAAACTACGAGTACTCTTCCTGATGATACAACATATCATCATTGGCTGGATACTTGTTTGACCAAGAACGAATTTGGGATGCCAGTATCACAGAGATAAGAATATATCACATCTCTAATCCCCCGGGATTGACAATTTGACTCATGTGTCACTATGATATTATATATATATATATGTCACTACAACTTCCAAAAAATACCTGGATCATGGAGAATCAATCCTTTCCGGAATCCAGCTTATCTATGCGATGCAAGAGTTGCACATGAATATACCCATGCTTGTGATTCTATATACTGTACTCATGGTTGCCCTTACCTTCAGGATCTGCTGTTTGTTTTTGAAGAGATTCAATCAGTCCCATCAACAAAACATGCCAAGCTTCTGGGCAGATTAATCAGGTATTCAATTCAAATACCATCAAATACCCAAAAAACAACACTTTTAGAATGGTTCCCCCTTACCGTCCATCATGGTTTCAGGATAGGGCCTGTGTGTGATCGCGAAAAAATATGCCCCAAATCAGCATCACCGAAAGTGAAACTCGTCACTTCCCCATGATTTGAGTTTCATGCATACATAATCATAGTTTTGGTCATGAAACGGTATACCAAAAATAATATTGTGTTCGTCATTAAACATGGAACACATGCAGTTTCAGGCCATGTTGGGAGGATACATGCCCCATCATGCCCCATGCTTGGACACAGTAGGCTGGTTCACTACCAGCGCCTCTCCACTAAAGCCCTGCAAGCGCCAAAAGGGTCGCTCATAGCGAAACACCTTCAGCGTCGCGTCGCTGAAACCGCGACAGACAAAGGTGAAGATATTGTCAATGTCAACACAAAAGCACATGTGTTGCTTTTTTCTTTCTTCAAAGAAAGACGAGGTATAAGTTAAGAGTCACTATACTTTAGTACAATGCACGATGTTCGATAATGTGAATATGCATGACAAAAAAACACATATTTATCGACATTACTGAAACATTGCCATGAACATCATGTACATGAAATGGTGTTTTCATCAGTTTCACCATGCGACCCTCCTCGCCAAAAGACACTGAAATAGACAGGGCCATATCAAAGGTGAACTTTCATCGAAAGCTTTGTCATTTGTCTGGACCAATTCTTTGAGTTGAGGAACCGGTAAACAAATGTGATGGAACTTGCAAGTGCTTCTTTAAAAATAGTTCCAACTCCTAAGACAGTTCATTACACACATAATCACATATATATATGTATGATTATGTATATATATATATATTAGATACCTGAGTCTGCAATAGTTTGCAATGTAAGGCAATGAGACTACTGAAGTTTGTGTCATCTCAAGAGCTCTTCTGGTTCAGCATGAATGAGAATTCCTCAAAATTGTATATCTGTAACATATTAAATATTGCTGGTCGAAGCTCACAGAACATGTCCCAACAATTCAGTTGGCATGTTGGCATGTTGGATGCACACCCAGCTTTGAAGGCCAAGGAACAGACTTAATGATGCATCCAATAAAGTTGGATCCATGCAAAGCGGCCCGGGAGGCCGGCAACCTCAGATGGAAAATCCACTGAATTTTCCATCGGGCCATCGGGGTCTATTTACAGTGTTAACAGTGTAAAAACCATCCAATCATGTACGCCAATCTTTACCAACACCCATATATGTATAATATACATGTATATATATATATATATATATGTAATACTGTAAATGATACTCTGATACACGTTTTGACCGTGGTTGATGGTGGAGCCACCCTTCCCAAAGATACCTGCATAAAGGTGACATTATGGCTTGCAAGGATGCTAAACATCACCATACACTTGTACACTATAGTACGCTCATAACAAAGTGTCAACATTGTTAGGCCTGACATCATGAAACCTAGAGCCTCCGTGACCTTGTGATCCTGTATGCCAGCATGCAGCTGAAGATTCTTAGAAGGCTTTGCAACCTGGATGAACATCCCATTTGTAAATGTGATAACAAACCACAGTTGGTGACACTGGTTCAAACCAACTTGAAATGGAAAGGACACAAATCCTTTTGGCATGGCCACGTGTATCGGTTGCTACTCTCAAACATCTTTAAAACAAAAAAAACTTCTGCAATTGCAATCACCTTGCAAAATGCTAATGTATATAAAGCTGAAAACTTGATTGAATGAAACTAGTTTTACTGCATTGATGGTCATACCATGTTCAGTCGATTTGTAAGCAGCGGCTCAAATGCAGTATTTCGTACCCTTGTTGACTGGGATTATTACTCTTAATTCAGCAAACTCTGTCGTAAGCATCATGTAAACGCAACTGCAAATGAGAATTCAGCCTCTCTGCAAGCAATGGTAGCAAAACGCCTCTGCCAGCGAATTACACGCAAGTATATATATATATATACACAGTATATACAGATGTGAAGGGACCAAAACTAAGGGTCACAAAGGCGGTCATAACAAAAATTATCGCTTTAGGTACAGTAATTCGCTATATCGCTTTCGATGGTTGTCGGGTTATCGCTTTGTGTAGGTTGCAAGACCTCTCAAGTAAAGGTTTCTGCCTTTCTGCATGGACCTTTAAGTCTTTGCTCATATGTAGTCCCGAAACTCGATAAAATCATACCAGGACTGGCTGGACTTAGCTGGTCCGAGTCCCTCTGGATCCCTCTGGTAGTGAAACATGGCCATGAACATCTCCCATTTATAGATTATTTTTCCCCGCTAAAATACCCATCTATGAGATCTATGAGGGAGTTTCCATTGCTGTTTGATTACCAGCGGGTACACATTGCTGTATTTTGCCCATACCCAGAATGTGGGTCGAAAACAGCAAGCAGACGCATTCCGTCACCAAGTAGCTGAGGTGTAAAATGGATGTCGCCCAAGCGCACTGGTGGCATCGCAAAAACACACCTCAAACGTCTTCGCGCAGTGACGCGCAGCGGAATTGCCGTCTTACGTTCCTTTTTTATGTGATATCATCAGTGCTGGAAGATCCTGTTGTTGTTGATGATGATGATGATGATCATCATCATCATCTCCGTTTTTCCTGGGAAACAACTCGGGTCAATACCTTGACACCCTGGTCAAGGTAAGCTACTTGTGGGACTAAGTTGGGACGTCCAACACCACCTTTTCGCAACTTCGTGACATAAATTGGTTCTCCTGTATGATTTGTGTGCCGGTTTCCCAGTTCCATCATATACATATATTAGTTTTAGCATAGTAATATGTATGTAGACACATTATAAATGAATGTATATATATATATAAATGATATACTGTTACTATTGTAAATTTTGTATTGCTCTCATACCTCTTGTATTTGTCAACATATTATTGGTCTGCTGTCTGCAGCCCATCCCACCTGGAACAGCGGAATTTGGCGTCCTTGCAGTGAAGCTCCACAGAATCCTGTGCTGACAGCCGCCATGTTTTTGACGTTGGGTGACCTCTTAAACAGTAGAAGTAGAAATTGACTGTGGCAAACATGACTCAATTTTTCATAAAGGAACATAGCTACTGAATCAGCTGAAAATGCGGTAGTAACCAGGAAACATCTGGATTTGACGCAGAAAATTCGCAAAACCAGGCCGTCTTAGCAGCAAACAAAAGGAGGTTTGAACTCTACACAACCAAAATGGGATATCAAATTGAGCAAGTCCCTTGATTGACAGTGATAACCAATGGAACCATGGATCCCTATGCAAGTGGTCAAGCCACCATGGAAAGTTGCAGTCATATATGATATAATGATATATATATATATACATTGTATATTAATGATTAATATATATATATATAGTATATTTATATATTGTAATTAAAACTATTCACAAGAGCACCATATGCAGTGAATGGCATATCCAAAGCATCCTGGTGGCACACTACCGAGGTCACAGGCTGCTTGAAATCCACCGTGCCTGGCGTTCCACGTGTCGAATATGGTTATGGGTTGAAACCCTGGTACCCAAACCTTACTCAAAGTCATAGCTGGTTAGGGAATATTTATTCCCCCAAAATATGGTAAATTCATGTAAATTTAAAGATTTTGACCCACAACATCCAATAACCATAGGGTAGTTATCATGGTTGATAGTTGTGGATGGTAGTTTTGGTGTGTTCAAGATGTTCATAATTCATGGTAGTTATGGATGATAGTTCTGGATGTTCACCCCCAAATAAATAAATAAATAAATAAATATGGTAGATATAATATGCAGTTACCATGTATTAATTATCATGTTCGCACCAAATTGTTAAATGATCGTAGTTGCGTCCGGTAATCAAACATGGCATTGGAAAATGCACATTTATAGATACCAAAGGGTATGGATGTTCATCCCAAATATGGTGCAAAAAAAACATGTTGATCCATCACAAGACCTCGCAAATTGAAATATTACTGCATGAAGGGAATAACCTTGCAATTCCTGCCGTTTTGGTAAACAAACATTTGCAATCAAACTGCGAGTTTCACCGAAAATCACATGTTTTACAAGACTGACCCCGAACAAAACAAATATATATATATACATATACTTACAACAACATCATTGACTTATGGACCATCAAAAACAATGGGGTCGATACCATCGATAATAACAATAACAATAATGATAACCATAGTTAAAAAAAAATAATGTTAATATTTTACAGAAACCCGTGCTGAAACTTCATCGGTTTGGAATTGTGTACTCCTTGGGGCCTTGATTTCCATGTTGTGGTTGATGCTTTGAAAAAATTGCGATGTTACGAGTACAGCAACCGATCCTGAAACTGTGTTGATTCTATAATGTTTTCTCTCTTTTCGTATCTTCTATAACTTTCGCCATAACTTTTTGGCCCCGACAAAGTCGGATCTGGCTCCCATTGTACTCCCACTGTACCCTCTCCCATCACATTGTATCCATCATTTTTAGACAAATCCATGTCAATTCCCAATGAAACGTTGTTTTCGTTCTTGACAGTGAATACTCCACTATACCCCACTATACCCCCATCATGGTGATATACTTCCGGTAATCAGACGTGGCAAGCTGGAACATCTTTGAATCTTTCCTTTAGTTCGATGATTTTCCCAATCGCTAGAAAACGCTAGAAACCTCCATTCAACTCGGGGATTTCCCAGGTAGCCGAGTTTCATTCCCAATTTGTTGGTTAAGTTATTTTACCACCTCAAGGATATGTTTGCCATAACTAAAACCTAGCTACTGGAGGTATAAACTAACCTTTCCATTGGTGTCCTGCTCCCCGCTCTCCCCGCGCCGCTGCGCGTTCTTTTTGACTTTGCGCAGGCGAAAGGCGCTTGAGCTCAGACGCCACAACGGAGAGCCGCTGAGGTTGGGGATCCTGGAGAACGTTGGCCAAAAAGGGGGGGAAGGTTGGCATTTTCTTGGAGTTGCTCGTGATCAAGAGATATTGTCTATCTATCTACCTACCTACCTACCTATCTATCTATCTATCTATATATATATATGTGTATGGTTGTTGATCAAAATTCCTTAGTCCGCAAACGGCCATTCTTCGCAAATAAACATGTTACTTTCGCGAAATTTTCGCTAACTCCACGTTTATCTTTCGCGAGGCCCATGTTGGGCAACAACGCCTCTTATGAAGATTCGTTCACCACCTGCCAAATTACGGCATGTGTGTCAGGCAGCAAGGAAGTGCATGGGGCACCCTTTTTGCTCGGGCATGAAAAGCCTATTGCAAGTTCACATGCCATGTAAGTGCAAGTGAAGGGAATGACTGTTGGAGTCACGGCTTACACCCTGCCTTTTGCTCAGTTGACTGGAATTTTCGTCAGCCAGCTGTTGCAAATCATTTTAGACATGAACATCTGCCTTATCGTTCACAAGCGGGTCATGGTAGTATTCCACCATGCGTCCGTTGCCTCCACACTTTCCTTTGGCTTCCGACTTTGGCACGGGAAGCGTGGGTGACGATCCAGTTGCAGCGTCCCTGGATAATGCTGCTCCCTCCTCAATCACCATGGGTGGGTCTTCATGATCTCCGCCTTCGCTTTCCTCACTTTCTTCTCCACCATCTCGATCATCTATGATTCTCACTGGTCCATCACTCGGCGAACAGTCATCTTCAACATCATTGGGTCCTGCACTTGGCTGAAGCTCTGTTGGCTCTCCCCAGCCATAATTTGCAGCTAGCCACTCTTCCACCATGTCCGACTCACCAGGCTGTACGCGGCCTTGATCATACCACAAGTTGTAGCGCTTGCGGGCAAAGAGAAAACGAATAGCCCGCTTCCTCACTTCAATGCCGTCCAATTGAATGGTTTTATGCATGTTGGAGAACTGCTGAATGCCAAGCCAAAAATCTCGGGTGACCGGGAGGCCGCGCAAGAACGAAAACTTCTTGATGATGTAGTGCTCCACTCCACGTGCTTCTCCAAGGAGTAGAAAACGATAGTCATCATACTCTCGTGCATCCAACTGTTCAAAGACACTGAAGTCCTCGTCCGCCATCGCCAGAGATCCATATACTCTGTCTGCACATCTTCTTTCTCCTCTTCTTCTTCCATGTCACAATGGCTGATGTAGCCATCATCACCTCCACCAAGTTTTGCGCCAGTCATGGAGGTAAGGTCGAAGTCGAAATCATAGTGCTCCTCAGCCATCGATTCAGCTGCGGGCGTCAGAGCTCCACCGAAGAACTCCTCCTTGGTCATGCAAGGGATGTGGGCCACACACCCATTGACATGGGGATTTTCTCCATCTGATCCACCTCCTTGGTCTACTCAATCTACTTCATCTGAACTCTCTTCTGCATCTGTTTCAAGCCACACACACACCCAAACGGTGCTGCTCCTCATCTCGAACCCTCATCGGATCTCGTCCTTGTCAAAGCTGCTGCCTTACCCAATCCATGGCGTATGGGGTAGCTTCAATCTTCACATGCATGATGTGCATGATCTTCAGAAGGATGATGATTGTCACCACCAAGATGAAAACCAGGGTGACCAACATGGTTGTGGTCCATGGCATACTTGATGCTGAAGGCTCCATAGCCACCAAGCATTGAGCGCTGCTCTGATGCGGAAGGCTCAAGGCTTCACCTCCACTCAGCAGTATTCACCAGGGTGCTATTTTCTGTGGTAGGTGTTTCCAGCACCTCTGCATGAACAATCTTCCTCATCGCCTTGATTTTCTCTCTCGCCAGTTTCTTCTGCTTCTCCTCGAACTCGGCCACACCAAAATCTCCCCGATCATTTTGGAAACTGCAAAGATGTAGTGACATCCTCACCCTTCGTCCAGTCAAAACCTTCGTTCCCATGTCTGCCACATTGGCAATGGTGTCAACGCGACAATGTTCCGATTCTTCACGTTGTTGTCGTTGTTGAATCCAAAGAAGACGTCCTGAGACATGTTTCAATCTGCACACTCCATCTCGAGCTGCTATTGCTATTGATGCTGTGTTGTCACCCAGCACCTTCAATCATCCACCAAGTGCTCCACAACGGCCTTGAGGATCCACAACCGCCTTGAGGAAAAGACCTTCAGAAGCTCCTCCAACCAAAGCCACAAAATTCAGCTTCAGAAGAACTGAGGGTGATGTTCTTCTGTGTCCTGGAGTATGAGTGGATCCAGATTCCACCCAAATACAAACTTTCACAGCTTGTCGATGATCTTGTCTCTTTATGGCCGCTCCAGTCGCTGTCGGTTGCAACTTCGAACAGCCAAATGCCCTCTTTCTTCAAATAGGTAGGGGCTGTAGTCAAACCATCAGCTCCGTGTCGAAAGCTTCTGCTCGGGTCTGTTTCGGCCATCTCCACATGAATGTCCGTGGTTGTGACCATGTAGCCAGTGAGATTGAGCAAACTGCTCATGGCTCCACGGGTTGGAACCTGAAGCTTTGCTGCTAGCTCCTTGATGAAGAACTGCGTGTCTGGCCGAGAACCAGAGACATAGAGTAAAGTCCCAGCTGCACTGCGGTAGTTCTGGATCTCGGCCTCGTCGCTCAAAGGCGTGTTGTCGATGGTGACTTATCCTGGAGTCTTTCGACGCTTCACACTGAGAAACAAATAAACCAGACCATCAAATGTACTTCTCGTTCACACCGACTTTGGTGACACCGTCCGCAATCTCAATGCTCCTCTTGAAGAAGCTCAGTTGTGGGCGCTCTCCACAGCCAACTTGAAGCGTTTCTGCGGGAAAGCCTCGATCTTCTCCAGCTCTTTGTCCTCTCCTGTCATGACCATATCATCCACATGGATCATCAGCGCCAAGGTTCTCTCAGGGTTGGTCCACACCTTTGGTGCTTCAGCACATTGCAGCAAACCACCATCCTTGAGGGTTGCCTTCAGGGTGTTGAACCAAACTGCTGCACCTTCACGCTGTGCCGGTAAGACCTTTCCCAACATCCATTCACGTGCAACACCAAGACGATTTGCTAGGTCTGCTTAAGCATCCTTCACATAAGCCGCCATCATCTTCCATTGTTTCAGTTGGCTCAGAGCTGGCACCAATCTCATAGTTGACTGAGTGCCAGTAGGAGCAAACGGAGCAAAAGTGTCACTCCTGTTGGGATCTAGCCAGTTGAAATCCCTTGCAACCAACCTTGCTCTCCTCTGCCAAGCTCCATCACGGATCCTCCAATCACAGACCAAACGAGTTGTAAGTGTTGGAGTGCTTGGCAAGTCCTCATCGGCTCGAGGTGCCCGCAGGACTCCCATGCCAATCAAACGATTGATCTCAGTCTCGGCTGCTAAGTTCTCAACCTCTGCAAGTTCATCTGGTGAAAGGTCTGGTGGGCTGGAAACTCCATGTCCATGTCCCCATCTTCCAAGAGCTCACCGGCCACGACGACTCTCCTTGGGATTATCAGCTGGTTGAGCTTCTCTACCAGAACCAGAAGTTGAGCTTGTCCCTGGTGTGGGTGAAGGTTGATCTCCAGATTGGTGCCTTTGTAGGGCTCTGTTCTTCTTCTCAAACTTCTCCACCACCACGCTTGGGGGATGTCTCAACATCACCAGTGTAGGTCTTGTTTTCCTTCACCTGTCAACCGGGTCTGCAAGCAGCGTCTCATCGTCGACCTCCTTGGCTAAACTCATACTCAAGAAGCTTGGGCTCGCTGACAAAGGCTTTGATGACTTTGATGTAGGATCTGATGCAGCCTCATCTGGCCCTGCCTGTCCTTGATCTTGATCTCCACGTGCCACTTGGGCACCACCTGCATCTGCCCAGTAGCAACGCTCCAAGGCCAGGTTCTCACATCGTTGAGGACTGCTGCATCAAATGCCACTGGCATGCGTCTCACCGTACGTGTCCACCTCAAACCATCACTGGTTGCCACGACATGGAAGTCTGCCCTGTCTGTCTTTCCCAGCCACACAGCAGGTCGGAATCTATCATCCCCATTTCCAGCGGAAGTCGAGCTAGAACTCTTTCTCCAAAGATTGCCAGTTTGCCTTGAAACTTCCTGCCACTCACCTGACTCACCTGCTCATAGGCTCCTCTGATCACAGCAGGCGTCGAACCATCACCAGTCTTGCCATAGGTCTCCACAGAAGCGTCGGTGAAGTCCTCGAAGTAGACCTCACCACCACGCTGAGCTCCTTTACAAAGACGCCAATCACTGTCTGAATCGCTGTACGTCATGTCATAAGTTTCCGCCAAGGCCACCATTGTAATGTAGGGCTCGTCCACCTGGGCCTCATCGTCAAGGTCGAAGTAGGTGATCCTTCTCGCCACCGTTGTCGGAGAGCCTTGAACTCCCTGACCACCACCAGTCTGCTGCCCAGAGCCACTGCTGACCAAAGACTGCGTTGCCACTGTCGATGCAGCATCTTGGCTCACCTGGTGCAGATTCCTCACAGGACATTCCCTTGACCAATGTCCTCGACCACCGCATAGTTTGCAGACATCAGCAGGCAATGCCCTTTCCACGACCATCCTCAACTTTGCTATAGTCCTTCGACTTGCCCTTGTCCTTGCCCTTCACCTTGCCGGCGTCCTTCCATCTTCCTTCGTCTTGCCCTTGACGCGATCAACGTCCATTGGCACAGCTTCACCGTGTTTCTCCTCCTTCTTGTTGATGTCCAACTCTCGGTAAACTGTACTGGAAGTCCATGATGTAGTTGTTCTCTCATAGGGCCAAGACACGGTCCCTTGTCGAGGCATAGTCAGACTTGTCGTCCATCTGAAGTTGAAGATGTTGACGTAGATGAGAAGGGACCACCTTCAGCAGGACAGAGAGCTTGGTGTTGTCACTCAGCTCCTCTTTGCTCACCTGAAAGTACTCATCAGCCAATCTCTCAAGTCCCATCTGCTCGAGGATGCCCTCCTTCTTGAACGACGGGTGTGACAGGAAGGCTTGAAGTAAGGCTATTGACCTTGCACGGGTGCGGGGCTGCATCTGCATGACCAGCTGCCTCCACACCTCCAAACCATTGCGTCTTTCAACACTTCGAAGAATCTTCAAAGGCGTATAGCGCAAGACCCCAACCAAGATCGAGTAAAGTTTCTCTGACCTTTCATGTTGGGCCACCGTCATCTCCACAAAGTCCATGGGGCGAGACAGCGTTTTAACCGTTACTATTTTTGGGGTTTTAACCGTTACTGGCTTTGGTTCTTAACCATGACTGTTGGGTGCCTTAACCATGACTGTTGGGGTGCCTTAACCCCGACTATGGGGTTTTTCCATCCGTCCCAACCAGTGCTTCTTTTTTTGTCCACTCGTCCGTTGTAGCCATCTCTGCCAGGTCCTGGAAAGGACTCGGTTTTTGGAGGTTTTGGGCGCAAAAAGGTTAAAAAACCGGGTTCTTTTTGGGGCCTAGATTGAGGAAGTAGAGGTTTTTTTCGTATGGAAGGAAAACACAATGGACAAGCTAATGCATTGAGCTAGGCAATGGCGGAAGTGTCTCAACTAACACAACTCATCCCACACAAACTCATCTCACACAAACTCATCTCACACAACTCATCTCACACACAAACTCATCTCACACATCTCAACCCACTCAACTCATCTGACTCAACTCATCTCACACACCTCAACCGACTCAACTCATCTCACACAACTCATCTCACACAAACTCATCTCACACAACTCATCTCACACAAATCATCTCACACAAACTCAGCTCACACAACTCATCTCACACAACTCATCTCACACAAACTCATCTCACACCTCAACCCACTCAACTCACCTGACTCAACTCATTTCACACACCTCAACCCACTCAACTCATCTCACACAAATCATCTCACACCAACTCAGCTCACAGGAACTCATTCACACAACTCATCTCACACCTCAACCCACTCAACTCATCTCAAACAACTCATCTCACACATACTCATCTCACACCTCAACCCACTCAACTCACCTGACTCAACTCATTTCACACACCTCAACCCACTCAACTCATCTCACACAAATCATCTCACACCAACTCAGCTCACAGGAATTCATTTCACACAACTCATCTCACACCTCAACCCACTCAACTCATCTCACACAACTCATCTCACACATACTCATCTCACACCTCAACCCACTCAACTCATCTGACTCAATTCATCTCACACACCTCAACCCACACAACTCATCTCACACAACTCATCTCCCACAAACTCAGCTCACACAACTCATCTCACACATACTCATCTCACACCTCAACCCACTCAACTCATCTGACTCAACTCATCTCACACACCCCAACCCACTCAACTCATCTCACACAACTCATCTCACACAAACTCATCTCACACAACTCATCTCACACAAATCATCTCACACAAACTCATCTCACACAAACTCATCTCACACAACTCATCTCACACAAATCATCTCACACCTCAACCCACTCAACTCATCTCACACAACTCATCTCACACAACTCATCTCACACAACTCATCTCACACATACTCATCTCACCAACTCATCCCACACAAACTCATCTCACACAAACTCATCTCACACAACTCATCTCACACAAACTCATCTCACACATCTCAACCCACTCAACTCATCTGACTCAACTCATCTCACACACCTCAACCGACTCAACTCATCTCACACAACTCATCTCACACAAACTCATCTCACACAACTCATCTCACACAAATCATCTCACACAAACTCAGCTCACACAACTCATCTCACACAACTCATCTCACACAAACTCATCTCACACCTCAACCCACTCAACTCACCTGACTCAACTCATTTCACACACCTCAACCCACTCAACTCATCTCACACAAATCATCTCACACCAACTCAGCTCACAGGAACTCATTTCACACAACTCATCTCACACATACTCATCTCACACCTCAACCCAATCAACTCATCTGACTCAACTCATCTCACACACCTCAACCCACATAACTCATCTCACACAACTCATCTCCCACAAACTCAGCTCACACAACTCATCTCACACATACTCATCTCACACCTCAACCCACTCAACTCATCTGACTCAACTCATCTCACACACCTCAACCCACTCAACTCATCTCACACAACTCATCTCACACAAACTCATCTCACACAACTCATCTCACACAAATCATCTCACACAAACTCACCTCACACAAACTCATCTCACACAACTCATCTCACACAAATCATCTCACACCTCAACCCACTCAACTCATCTCACACAACTCATCTCACACAACTCATCTCACACAACTCATCTCACACATACTCATCTCACACAACTCATCTCACACAAATCATCTCACACAAACTCAGCTCACACAACTCATCTCACACAACTCATCTCACACAAACTCAGCTCACACAACTCATCTCACACAAATCATCTCACACCTCAACCCACTCAACTCATCTGACTCAACTCATCTCACACACTTCATCTCACACAACTCATCTCACACAAACTTATCTCACACAACTCATCTCACACAAATCATCTCACACAAACTCAGCTCACACAACTCATCTCACACAACTCATCTCACTCAATTCTCACCCAACTCATCACACACAGTTCAACTCATTCAACTCATCTTACCCAACCCATCTCACTCAACTCACCTGACTCAAGTCAGCGCACACAGTTCAACCATCTTAACAACTCAACTCACTCAAGTCATCTCACGCAACTCATCTCACTCCACTCACCTCACACCACTCAATTCACTCAACTCATTTCACTCAACTCACCTCACACAACTCATCTCACTCAACTCATTTCACACAACGAAACCCACACAACTCATCTCGCTCCACTCAAATCACTTAACTGATCTCATTCAACTCATCCCGCACTCACTCCACTCCCACCCAAAACGCTTCACTCAACTCCTGGAGCTGCGGCGCGCACGGTGGGTCACTGCAATGCAGAACATATTTCATGTCACAGTGCTGCATTTCTATACTCATCTGATCCTACCCTTGCAGAAACTTCAGCGCTACATCTCATCTTACACACCTCATCTCTTACACCCACCATCATACATCTCTTCATACATCTCGTCTCACAAACTGCCCACGCGGGCCCGTACCACGGGCTGTCCGGACCCTACGGGCTCCACGGGCTCTGCGGGCTCTACGGACTCTACGGGCTATGCGGACTCTACGGGCTCTACGGACTCCACGGGTTCTACGGGCTCCACGGGCTCTACGCGCCCCACGGGCTCTGCGGGTCCGGGCTTTACGGGCTCTACGGGCCAGGGCTTTACGGGCCAGGGCTCTACGGGCTCTACGGGCTCTACGGGCTCTACGGACTCCACGGGTTCCACGGGCTCCACGGGCTCCACGCGCCCCACGGGCTCTACGGGTCCGGGCTATACGGGCCCGGGTTTAACGGGCCCGGGCTCTACAGGCTCCTCTACGGGCTCTACGCGCTCTACCGGCTCTACGGGCTCTACGGGCTCTACGGGCTCTACAGGCTCTACGGGGCTGGGCCTTCACGGGCTCTTAGGGGCCCTGACTACGGGCTTTACGGGCTCCGCGGGCCCTCACGGGCCTGCCAAGTCACTCCAAATTATCACGCACAACTTCCTCATAGCCTTGTAAACCTGCAGCTAGCATCACAGAAACCCTTGTCATATCCGTGCTAGGAACTACATTGTACTATGCATCTGGATACTGGATTCATGCTCAGCTACTCTGACCCTTTCCATGTGACCCCCGCCCACTGGATACACCTTAAATGGTGTCAAATCTCCAATTTGCCATTCCTTTTCCTGTTGTGATTTTTCTGCGCCTCCAATCTTGGCATTTTGGATACTCCATACCATATCCCTTATTCAGGTACCCCTTAGGCACCTCCTGGGCACGGGGTCACATGCCCCAAATTCTGCAATTTACCCCCTTCCACTGAAAGGCTCTAAAATGCTCTTTTGGGGACCCCTTGTAGCTTCAATTTTTGGGTTTGCCCCCTGAGGATACGAGATTCGGAATGCCATAAAGGTCCAAGTTATGACCAAAACCATAAGAAGGGATTCCCCAAAGCAATCTTAAAACCAACGAAGAGCTGACATGATGGATTTCAAGGAGTTTCAATGCCAAACCCAATGGCCCACAGAGACTAAAATAGTTAAGAATGATTTAGAGGGATTTAGATTGATTTAGCAGGATTTAGAGGGATTTAAAGGGATTTAGAGCGATTTTGAAAGGCATATATATGTTTGAACATATATTTATATGCCTAATGGATAGGGGTCACATCTCTGGGGTCTGACCAACATCCTAGGATATCTATCGTGATTCAAATTATTCAACTTCAAATGTGCTACGATTAGGCTCTTTATATACCAGGCAAACACGCCGAATGGTCCTAATCGTCACAGGATCCAAGCTCCTCCACGTCACACAAGCCTGCGTTCCCATTAGGCACCCGAAGGAAGAATGCAAACAAAACTGTGGCCACTGCTTATCGACCGCAATGGTAGATTTATAGAATCCATGACTTATAGTATCACACAAGATGTCGGAACACATGTCATGTGGCGACCTTAGAATTATCTGCATTTTGTAAAGCACTTTGCTTTGACAAAAGTAAGCGGCCGCCTTCAGCAACCATAGTCGCGGACACCCGCGGTGGCTTCAGTGGACCGCAAGGAACCCAACCACGGAGCACAACATCATCAGGCTTAATCTGTTGAACCAAATGAAAGTCTTTTGGCCAGACTGTGCTTCGGCCACAATGCTGACTGCACATATTCGCTTCATGAAAGAGTTGCGCCATACCAGCTTCCACAGCCAGTTGCAAACAAGAAAGGCCCTGAGCACCAATCTTTTTACCCTCCGGCAAGAGAGACTTCACGGCATTCTCGAAAGATTGCTTGGACAACAATTTGCTGGACGTTTTTTTGCCAAACTTTCGCCACAGAGCTGCTCTCCGGGCTTTCTTGCTCAAACTACCACGACAAGGGACGCGGGCCAGGTCTTCCTCAGCCGCTGCCATTGCTTTCTGCTCCGGGCCATGGGTGTCCAAGGCTTTTGTCAACACATTCATATCAGGTTCTTGGTCTTCTTCGAGAGGGGCTGGTGACTTCAACGCTGCAGTAGGCTGGTCCGGCGTGACAAACCCATTGCTCTTGCACACACCACACACACCGCCCAAGCGGCAGCAATCGCGACATTCTTGGCTTTCTTCAACAGGCTGTAGCTGAGGTTCTAGAGGCACAGCCGGCACTCTATCCTCCAGCGTTGGGAAACTGCATGTCATGCTGATAGAGGCAAGGACAAACAGAAAAATTTGAAACACGAGCTCCACAACATAAAACTTCCAAGAGGTCACATCACCAAGTTCGGAATACTTCATATCTGTGTGAACTTCAGATAGCCTTTCGTTCATGGACTTCTTCGACATGATCAACCAAGTCTGTAATGACATCTATCTATCTATCTATCTATCTATCAATCTATCTATCTATCTATCTATCTATCTATCTATCTATAGATAGATATATCTATCTAATCAATGTTCCAGCAACATCAAACCGTATATAAAGTATAGTTAATAAGAGAGTACCTGTAAACACATATATTTAGATATGCTTTCGATGTTTTGACTGAAGAGCCATTGCCGTTCCACCTGATCAAACTGTTGTTGAAGGACATTGCAACTGCTTGACGCAACCTTCGAAGGCTTTGCTACAAGCTGCGAATCTGCTGAGCATTTCAACGCCTAGCACACACATCAAGCACAAACATCATTGCACCAAGAGCCTCAAGGACCCAAGGACCCCTGGATTCAAGACTTCAAGGCAATCGAATCTTACAAACACTTTTGATGTCATTCACGCTCCCTGCAAAACAAGCGAAATCAAACGTCAAGAGCAAGGCAGCTGGAGGGAATGATTTTCCATTTTCAAATCCTTTCATTCCAGATAGGCACCTTGGACGAACGTGGCTTCCGCTTTGAGGTAGCAGCAGCAGCAGCAGCAGGGCGTTTCATGTCGCCTCGCCGGAAGGAGTGGTTCCGATCCCCAAACAAGCTCAAAAGCTGGAGACGTAACTGACTTGCTCAAGTCGCATCTTTTTGGGCACAGGGCAGCTCACCAAGCGTCTGGTCTCGTGTTCCTAGAGAGAACTCTGCTATCCGCCCTGCTGTTCCGCAGGACGGTCAGCCCTCGCTCTGCCAGGGGTTCGAGAACGAGGTCTGCCAGGAGTTCGAGAACGAGCTCTGCCAGGGGTGCGTGACCGACTGGGCTTTTTCCTCTCTTTCTTCCGTGTCCGGGGCACACTGACTTTGGCTTTTTTCTCCTTTTTTTGCGCTTCTTGCGGCCAGCTTCATCTTCGGAAGAGCCAAGAGCACAATCGTACTCAGGAACTGCCCCTTGCTTCAAAGCAGCTTGGCCACACGAAGCGACTGGTAGGTCTGGTTGTATATGAGTCTGCAATCCTTCGAGCTGCTGAACGGCATAGAGATGACTGCAATGTCGGTGATGGGCAAAATGCCAGCAGCTGGCCCGAAGAGTCTTGGGTCTGCCAGCGCCACGGTCAATCGCAATCACCATGCAATGCTCTTGCCAATGTGCGCGCAAAGTCTCCATGGATACCTTCAGTGGAGCGCGCTCGCACCCATCTGTAGGCTGAATCAAAATGCCACACGTCTGCCAGCGTTGCAGCAAGTCCTCCTGCGACTCCACTTGTATCTGTCTCACCATGTCACAAGCAATCCTGTGCAGAAAGAAGCTTGGCAAAGTCACAACGGTTTGACTAAGACCAAAAAAAAACCTGCTGTCAACACTTGTTTCCAAAACATATTCTGAAAAAGCGGCACTGTGGACAGCGAAGTGAAGAAGTGAAGAGACCAAAGCGAACTTCCGCGTAGTGAGTCATAGGCAAGAACAAGGAGAAGGATGCGGGACGCGAAGCCTATCACAAAAGAACTCGCTTTTTGGAAAATTTAGGCTGCAAACCCTGGATTTCTGAGTCCTTTTCATTCGACACAGGATGTTTCCGGGAATCCGACTATTTGAGTAAGCGGGAGACAGAACCCGAGGACGACCTCACCAAAGACAAGAGAGAAGTCAGGCGTAGAGGTAAGGCGTATGTAGCATCAAGTTCGTGGACAAGGGCAAGTGAAGAAGTGAAGAGACCAAAGCGAACTTCCGCGTAGTGAGTCATAGGCAAGAACAAGGAGAGGAGAGGATGCGGGAACGCGAAGCCTATCACAAAGAAAACTCGCTTTTTGGAGGATTTAGGCTGCAAACCCTGGATTTCTGAGTCCTTTTCATTCGACACAGGGATGTTTCCGGGAATCCGACTGTTTGAGTAAGCGGGAGACAGAACCCGAGGACGACCTCACCAAAGACAAGAGAGAAGTCAGGCGTAGAGTAAGGCGTATGTAGCATCAAGTTCGTGGACAAGGGCAAGTGAAGAAGTGAAGAGACCAAAGCGAACTTCCGCGTAGTGAGTCATAGGCAAGAACAAGGAGAAGGATGCGGGACGCGAAGCCTATCACAAAAGAACTCGCTTTTTGGAGGATTTAGGCTGCAAACCCTGGATTTCTGAGTCCTTTTCATTCGACACAGGATGTTTCCGGGAATCCGACTGTTTGAGTAAGCGGGAGACAGAACCCGAGGACGACCTCACCAAAGACAAGAGAGAAGTCAGGCGTAGAGGTAAGGCGTATGTAGCATCAAGTTCGTGGACAAGGGCAAGTGAAGAAGTGAAGAGACCAAAGCGAACTTCCGCGTAGTGAGTCATAGGCAAGAACAAGGAGAAGGATGCGGGACGCGAAGCCTATCACAAAAGAACTCGCTTTTTGGAGGATTTAGGCTGCAAACCCTGGATTTCTGAGTCCTTTTCATTCGACACAGGATGTTTCCGGGAATCCGACTGTTTGAGTAAGCGGGAGACAGAACCCGAGGACGACCTCACCCTAGACAAGAGAGAAGTCAGGCGTAGAGGTAAGGCGTATGTAGCATCAAGTTCGTGGACAAGGGCAAGTGAAGAAGTGAAGAGACCAAAGCGAACTTCCGCGTAGTGAGTCATAGGCAAGAACAAGGAGAAGGATGCGGGACGCGAAGCCTATCACAAAAGAACTCGCTTTTTGGAGGATTTAGGCTGCAAACCCTGGATTTCTGAGTCCTTTTCATTCGACACAGGATGTTTCCGGGAATCCGACTGTTTGAGTAAGCGGGAGACAGAACCCGAGGACGACCTCACCAAAGACAAGAGAGAAGTCAGGCGTAGAGGTAAGGCGTATGTAGCATCAAGTTCGTGGACAAGGGCAAGTGAAGAAGTGAAGAGACCAAAGCGAACTTCCGCGTAGTGAGTCATAGGCAAGAACAAGGAGAAGGATGCGGGACGCGAAGCCTATCACAAAAGAACTCGCTTTTTGGAGGATTTAGGCTGCAAACCCTGGATTTCTGAGTCCTTTTCATTCGACACAGGATGTTTCCGGGAATCCGACTGTTTGAGTAAGCGGGAGACAGAACCCGAGGACGACCTCACCAAAGACAAGAGAGAAGTCAGGCGTAGAGGTAAGGCGTATGTAGCATCAAGTTCGTGGACAAGGGCAAGTGAAGAAGTGAAGAGACCAAAGCGAACTTCCGCGTAGTGAGTCATAGGCAAGAACAAGGAGAAGGATGCGGGACGCGAAGCCTATCACAAAAGAACTCGCTTTTTGGAGGATTTAGGCTGCAAACCCTGGATTTCTGAGTCCTTTTCATTCGACACAGGATGTTTCCGGGAATCCGACTGTTTGAGTAAGCGGGAGACAGAACCCGAGGACGACCTCACCAAAGACAAGAGAGAAGTCAGGCGTAGAGGTAAGGCGTATGTAGCATCAAGTTCGTGGACAAGGGCAAGTGAAGAAGTGAAGAGACCAAAGCGAACTTCCGCGTAGTGAGTCATAGGCAAGAACAAGGAGAAGGATGCGGGACGCGAAGCCTATCACAAAAGAACTCGCTTTTTGGAGGATTTAGGCTGCAAACCCTGGATTTCTGAGTCCTTTTCATTCGACACAGGATGTTTCCGGGAATCCGACTGTTTGAGTAAGCGGGAGACAGAACCGAGGACGACCTCACCAAAGACAAGAGAGAAGTCAGGCGTAGAGGTAAGGCGTATGTAGCATCAAGTTCGTGGACAAGGGCAAGTGAAGAAGTGAAGAGACCAAAGCGAACTTCCGCGTAGTGAGTCATAGGCAAGAACAAGGAGAAGGATGCGGGACGCGAAGCCTATCACAAAAGAACTCGCTTTTTGGAGGATTTAGGCTGCAAACCCTGGATTTCTGAGTCCTTTTCATTCGACACAGGATGTTTCCGGGAATCCGACTGTTTGAGTAAGCGGGAGACAGAACCCGAGGACGACCTCACCAAAGACAAGAGAGAAGTCAGGCGTAGAGGTAAGGCGTATGTAGCATCAAGTTCGTGGACAAGGGCAAGTGAAGAAGTGAAGAGACCAAAGCGAACTTCCGCGTAGTGAGTCATAGGCAAGAACAAGGAGAAGGATGCGGGACGCGAAGCCTATCACAAAAGAACTCGCTTTTTGGAGGATTTAGGCTGCAAACCCTGGATTTCTGAGTCCTTTTCATTCGACGCTGAAGCCTACCACAACCCTAGATGTCTCAGGCGTTAGTAACAGGACACACAGAACATGAGTTGCCCGGGCCTTGTCCATGGAGTGCAACTTGCCGAACACCAGCCAAAGATGGCTGCAAAAGAAAGGAAACATACAATCTTCCAAGGAACATGCCATCTAGACTGGAACAAGAACCCCATGGTCGGGGTTAAAGACCCCTAAGCGTGGTTAAGACAAAGTGGTCGGAGTTAAGACTCCTTAGTCGGAGTTAAGAACCTGTATGCCATGGGGCCCTCTGCCATCTCGGGCTCCTGAAGTCAGCCTCGTAGTCTGGTTGGGCATAGGTCAACCAGCTCTGGAAGCTAAGTTTCCAATCCTGCCACTGTGAAAGTTCCTCTTCTGGCGTCGAGGGTTGAAACAGGTCTGGCTGTCGAACCACTTTTGATGCCTCTGTGAGTCTATCCTTCGTTTCTTCTCCAAACTTTGCCTTCAGCGTTTGGGCCACTTCTGCAACAGCCGTGGCGCTTGCACTCGTACTGTAGAAGCCAGCAGCTGCGCCAAAGAAGCCTCATCCATGGCCTCTACCCAAATGCCCCTCAGCGGGGCTCCGCTACCATGTCAGGCAGCAAGGAAGTGCGTGGGGCACCCTTTTTGCTCGGGCATTAAAAGCCTATTGCAAAACAGTTTCACATGCTATGTAAGTGCAAATGCAGGGAATGACTGTTGGAGTCACGCTTACGCAAACGGCCATCGCGAAAAAACAAATACTTTCGCGAATCTTTCGCACACCCCGGCGAACCCCACGTTTATCTTTCGCGGGGTTGCATCTATCCACTTTTGTGCTGTTGAGACGCACTCAAACAGCATGCAAACGGCAACTGTGTGAGCGATCCGGGAGACAGCCAAGGGTATATATGCAAGGCCATGTTGGGAAATTTCCATAAAATTCCGCCAGGAAATAGCAGAGTTTCATTGTTTACCACGTTTGCTTGACTTGCCGCTGCAAAGGTGCCGAGTGGGCTACTGGCTTCCATGGACATCTTGATCGCAACTGTTTTCGCGGAACTTTCGCGAAACTTTCGCAAAAAAACCTTTGCACATCAACCAACAAATCCACACCCTGAATCGTGGTTAGGGGTTCAGCTCCACTTGATTGCAGTATAGTGCTTGGGTCTATTCCCTGCCTGCCAATCTCCCAAAGTAACTCCGGCTAGGCATGCCTTTTGGGAAATCGTCCCCGCAGCTTAATACAGGATTTTTATGCAACAGGCACGCCTTTCACTACCTACTGTTTTGATTCATCCGCATATACCGTAACTATCATCATAACATATCAGACAGTAACTGTTCGTAACTATATGTATACAGCTGTGATTTGAATGTATATGTATTATATGATAATTATGTATATATATATATATGATTATATATTATGTATATACATATATATATATATATGCTTATATATATATATGCTTAATGCTTATGACCGAAATACTTGAATCGACGGTAATACTATAATTACAACAAATATGTTGGAATGTTGGATATGTGACTGTGATTAAATAAACACGTTGAACTCTTGTTAGCACATCACATGTTGTAACATTATACAACCACCATTTGAAAATAAGTGTTTTTTTTCTACGTGTGGTGTGCCCCGCTGGAAACCTAAGCTGGCAACCCTCCTCCAAGGCTTATGTTTTTTGGTGGTCTATTTTGCGTGTTTTGTCTTGCTGTTTCTTTCACCAACGTTTGACCAAAATAGATCGACATGATCTGCTTGACCCCGATTTTGGATGATTTTGGTATAGATTTTTCTGCTCAAAGACTCAAAGAGTGGTTGGACCAGTGAAAGTTGGGAGACGAGCCAAAATGATCCAAAATAGAGTTTAACATAGAGTTTGAACTGGAGATTTTACCAACAAGATCAGCAAGGGGAGTGTAACCAAGCAAAATAAGCTGTGGCTGATAAAGCTACAACATGGAATGACCTGGAATTGTCCCAACGTCCAAACACCTTCCCAACCTAGGTCTCCCCAAGAAAGCATTAGGAAATTGTTGCAAACGTCATGCAATTACAAGACCTCTGGATTATTCACCAAGAACTTGAAGGTGCGTAATTTTGTCTGCACCTTAACATGTAGAAACTACTATACATTGTGTTTTCCCATCCACAAATCTCCACCGAAATGGGGTAAACCCTGGCCTCAAACCATTCAACTGCCACTGGCCCAGATGCAGTTTTAGCTCTTTGCCAGTGTCAGGACATTTCCGTTTTCGAAAACCTGGGAAAAACAAATGTCCCCCGGATGCAGGGACAAATCATAAATCGACCATGATTGTCGCTGGAACAGAACACTGTTTGTGATATCATGTCGGAGAACAGAAAACAAAAAGCATGGGAATTCACATCTCAGCATGCCCTGCAACATCTTCCCAGGTGTTGTAAGGGGCCTAGATCAACGTCCTTTTTTACGTTTGAAACAAACGATGAGATCAGTGAGGATGGGTGATAATAAAAATGAGCACGTATAAGGATCATATAAGATATATAAGTACATCATACGCATCGTATTCTGCACCAACAACAAACAACTTGAATCAACTCATTCAGATGTCCTATGAAACTGGATGAAGCTGGCTGGTTCTCTGATCTCCCCGTGTCCCCCCTGTGCTGCCACGATGCGCATTGGGGGCCCTGCATTGCAAGTTGCAGGAGTTCCTGCAAAGCACACGAAAGACAACGCATGCACGTACTGTGTATGGGTATACTGTATATATATATATACATATATATATATACATATATATATATACATATATATATATATATACATGTATATATATATATACATATATATACATATATATATATACATAAATATATACAGTGACCAAATATATATATATATGTATATATATATATATAAATAATATGTATATATATATATATTGTGTGTGTATCTGTATAATTTCATGGATAGTGCCACATTGCCTAGTTTGAAACTGTTGGAAAGCCTTACCTCCGTCTTTGAAACTCCAACATATATAATATTAACCGGAAACTGGAAACGGTGAACTGCGTCGTGAAAGTCAAACAAAAAACGTGGATGGGACATTGGACAAATCCACACAGTACATATATTAATACTCTTTCTTAGGGACTGTGGACCAGTAGATCTCTCTTCACAGTCACAGTCTAATGATATAGGGATGTATATACTTAATCCAAGTATAATACAGTATATGTATAATCATTTTTGGGAATCCAGTTGCAATGACGACCATGTTACCAAGGAGCAAAGATGGTGATTTATACATGATTTTCACTGCATCACGCACGACCATGGGTCGGGTCTGCCAAGAGTCGCGCTCAGGTCTGGGTGTCCTGAAAATGTTGTGTATACATATATATATATGTATGTATAAACATGTAATGTCTGTACTACAAATACAATCTAATCGCATATACAACCATTATATATATATATATATTGTATATCATATACATATATATATACAACATAAGAAGACTATAGTATATAACACTCTATATATTATATATACACATCCATGAAAACTGTTATATAAACATCCACAGCGGATGAACATGGGCGCACTAAAAAGATCACAGTTTAAAACACTGCTGTTGTAGCTGGGTTCTGCTGCTGGTTGATGTCAGGATTCCCACTTCCTGCTTTGATTCATCAAGAACTCACCTCAAAACTCATTAAATCATTAAACATCAGCAACGCCTTCCACAATTTGACCATGAAATCACCAACGCCTTGGCCAAAGTCATCCTTCAACAGCTCAAGTTCTATATCTTCAAACAGCCCTCCATAGCCACCGCCACGTCCAGCGACCCTGCCTTTCCCATTGGTCCCCAAAGGCTTCAAGCCGACGGGACGGTGATGGACCCACACCTGGGATGAGGCACGACAAGTGAGGAAAAAAACACGCCATGACTTTGGGAGGGAAAAAAACTTAAATTTTGTATAATAATAATAATAATAATAATAATAATAATAATATATATATTATTATATAATATAATAATATATAATATATATATATATACAGTATATATACAGATCTATATACTTTTAATTGGCACTGCACCCCAAGCAATTGGACATTAGATGGGCTTTGAGTTCCAGGTTGGCTTTACTTCTTGGCTATGATATGCTCAGTTAGAGGGGTCCACTTGAAATCTTTAATGTTCATGGTGCGAACGTCGAAGAGAAAAATAACACAGATCGCATGCCCGGAATCCCAAGGTCTCTTCATGGACAACCACCCATAACCACCCTAGGTGCCACTGAAAAGTCCTTAACCCTCATTCTGAACATGTCCATGTCGGATTGCAGCCGATGAACATTCACCAGCAGCGCCAGGCGTTCTCCGGGCACTTCTTCCAAGCTGCCCGGCACACCATGAAGCAGGTCGCCATCTTAGGCAGACCCCAGGGATGCGGACAAGCCAATGGCCCAATGCCAAGCAGCCAACTGGGGATAACTGGGGGGGGGGGTCATAGTGTTTTTATGCGTTTTTATCATCCCAAAATAGGGGTACAACATGGTAGAACCCAAATTACCCCAATTTCATAAACCTCAAACTGGGGGATGCTTTATGAATTTGGGTGAAAAACACATTGCCGAAACCTCCCGGCCAGTGAAGTGGGATGACTATCCTGCCAGCTCCCATGTGGCAACCTCCATTGTCGGCTCGGATTCACTGAGATTGACATGGCTGAACTTACTGTAGAAAATCTGTAGTTCTTCAATATTGGCCTTGGCATATCATATTCATATTCTTCAACTTTCCCAATGTATGATAAAATGTGACCATAAGCAGCGTAATATCCCCATGAAGCATACCATTCGACCACCATTTGGGTTGAGTAAATCCCAATCGTTTGTACTCAAATACGTTTAAATATCTGATCAAAAAGTATTGATTCACAATTATTTTCCCATTGATATCCCATTGCAAGTATGAGTAAATCCGATACAGAGTATATATATATATATATATCCATCCCCGTATTTTATCATTCTTGTTGGTTAAATCCTCATTGTTGCAAGGTAGGACCCCAGTTGTAGGCTGTTTCATGAACCCCAATAACTATGTGTGTATATATTATATAATAATATAATAATGTATATATATATATATATTATACATATATATATATATTATACATATATATATATATATACATATATATATATATATACATATATATATATATTAAGCCATAGTTGCCATAGTTAGCATAGTTATAAACCGTTTTCTCTAGATTCTAGAATTCCTCTTCCCATTTGTGATTCAACAAAACACCATGTCTGATTCTGCAATTTGTTTTGGGGACGGTAAAACATCCCCCATCACCGCAGAGCTTGCAGGCAGAGTCACTGAAGGACACGTGCAAATTCCTTCGTGGAAACGCCACGAAGATCTCGCCGGCGCTGTCGCGCCTGCGGCACGAAGATCTCAGCAAATTCTGATGATCTACCAATTTCTACCAATGGCTAGATGAGAAATATCCTGAAAATATAGGGGAATATCGGAATACCATGAGAATAAATCATGAACATGGGGGGAATATCATGAAAATGTGTGACATATAAGTTGAACATTGGCTGAACATTAGGGATTTACCCTCAATGTTATGACATGTTAAGAGGGAAAATCATGATTCGCATTGATTAACATGCTTGCTTTTCCTGGGATGTTCTATCCATTTATTGGGTAATGGACTAATCGATCATTATCGATCATTATTAGCCTTTGACATAGCGATATCATGGGGATATACTGGGGATTTACTGGATTTTTTGGGGGGAATATGGCCAAACAATATGAAGATATTCATAGGTTTACCCTGAATGTCATTTATTGAATTTATCTTTGGTTAAGAGAAGGACTCCCAGTTCATGGATGATCAAACAAGCAGGGTTTTGAACACAGCTCAATGGAGGTTACCTGATACCTGGATATATATATATATATATATATATGGATATATGATAGATAAGCAAGGTCACTATACCCATGTATACACCAGTTTTATGACTTCTAGATAATCACCCCATAGATATGGGTATAGATAAACTATTCTCCTGGGTCACTACACCCATAGTCACTATACCAGGGTTCACCATAGTTTTATCATGTTTTATCTGGGATGCACATCGAAGTTTCTTCGCGCCAATGACATACCAAGTTATGGCCAAGTTTCAACCCACCCAAACACTGGGCAAGCTATAGGTTCCATCGTCAATGCGGTTAACCAACGAACAGATTTGTAGCACATCTATATTAGACCTCAAGGACAAATATATATATATATATTTGTATGTATATATAAAGCAATATCGTGCTGCTCGGGGTTTCAGTAGCGTTTTGTTTAGTTCAGACAGTGGTTTCGACCCATTCCAATCGAAAAATATCATCATCCCATGTACAAATGCACAATATATATCAATATATATATATATGTTTAAATACATCAACCAGTACTCAGTGGTCGTAGACCTACAGTATTCCTATTTTAGATGGTTGGAGGACTGCCATGAATAAATCATGGTAAATCCTCATGTTTAGCTCGCTGAAGATGGTTCGATCTCCATCAAATTCAGTGGCTTAAAAACATTTAAAAACCACCCGAAAAACGTCTCCGCCCGCCAACCTCAAGCGGGGCTCATCTCGCTTGGGCCCATCTGGGCCCATCTCCAAAGTGGGCTGGTTGAAGATCATCAAAGGAGCACCTGAAAAAATGGTCCCCTGATCACCAGTGAAAACTCGTGGTGAAAACAAGGGATGAACATCGGGAAATTTCATGAAAATTCACCAAGTGTAGATCCTGTTGTTCCTTGGGAAGCTGCGTCTTTTTCATATCTTTGGAACCTATCTTTGTTGGTTTGCAAAAGGGGGTGAAACGTGAAACAAAATGGAACATGAGAAAATCTGCACTAATCCCCATGAAAAAAATGTTCAGGAACTGAAAGGTGTCCCCGTCCCGTATCTTTTCATATCTCTTTGCTTGAAACCAAGAAGTAAGGATAGCTGTCATAACCCCAAGAATTGCTGAAGAAATTCCTACTTTGACTAGGCAACTTCCACATCTCACCAGCAGTTGCACTCTGGGAATGGGCCAAAAGGATTGCCAACAATCAGAATGGATGTCTTAATACCAACAATGACCAAATTTGCTTTGTTAAATTATCTCTACCCATACTTAGATGTGCTTTCCTAGCAAGTGGTCAGTAAGTAAGTGGTCTACACCTTTATAATATCATATATATATATATGAGCAATGTCGAAAACCCTAGGTTCACGGAAAGGACATCCACAAATTTGGGAAGGTCCCATCGCTTACCACACGTTTGTACAATAATGATATATGGTAAACTTGGGGGGTATCGTTTGCAGGAAACTGCTACATTTTTTGTATATATTTCACAGAAATCAACGTCCAATTTGGGTATCGCTAATGTGGATATTAGAGAAATACAATGACATAACCTTGAAAAGGGAATCGCTAATTTGGGAAGGTCCCATCGCTTACCGTGTGTTTTTAACACTTTCCATCAATTTCCATAAACCAATGTCCGTCCAATACATATTTAGTATTGCCGGGGTTTTTGCGGTGGCTCATATATGTATACATATTACAAACATATACAGTAGTTATTTATAGATACCCAATGCAAAACCACATCGAAGCCATGGCCATCGATATTCCATGGGTCCCCTGGGTTCTGCCTGCATCTGTGAAGTACGTGGCCGTCCCAATGAGGGGATGCACCACCAAGTCGCACTCATCCAGCAAGTCCTCGTCCTTCGGCGAAGCCGCGAAGCCGAGCCGGGGAGATATGGAAGTTTCCTGAGTCATGGTACATCATTAACCATGGTGATATAAGAAACCCCTAAGTTGGGATATAGGGAATATAGGGGCCCAATTTCTATGGTTCTGGATGTTTCCTGGGGATCATGGGGGTTGCAAAATAGGAGTTTCCATGAAATAAATCAACCAGCTCTTGGGGATCTCCCATTTATGGAAACCCAAGATCTTTGAAATGTCAAAACTGTTTTCTGAACATGAGGGGACGTAAAACAACAATAGATTTGGGGCACAGTAGTCACCTTGTCGTTTGGTCAACCAATTTTTTCGGTTCAAGTTTCAGCCCGGGACTTTGCAAGTATACACATGTTCAAGCACAAACACAGAACGGTGCTCTAATTACAACTTTACCCCAATAATCCCAATATTGAAATGAAACCTCAAACGTAGCAATTTGCAACCAGAAAATCATCGTCCAAATCCAGATTCGAAGCAGTTCTGCAATTGATTTTGTCCAAACCTCAACCCCTCGGTAGCCAACTGCTCCAGTTGCGCCACTCCTTGTCAAAATGCCAGTTCATCCCTCGTCGCTCCTGGATGCTGTGGGTGATCTCGTTGATATCACCGTAATCCATCCCTTCCCCTACCATCCACCATTAAACACCCCGCAGAAACCATGGGTTCAGTAGAGGATTTCAACATAGTTGGGACATCTTGGGACCATTCACCATAAGAATCTTTAATATCAACGGGGGAATCCAGGATTGCGACAATCCCAAATCCAGCATGAAACCAAGCAATTGCCATTTCCAGTAGGCCAATCTGGAAACCAAAACGAGTTCTTCCATGCTGAGTCGGAAGTACATGCTATCGCTGCTATCCTGACCATGTTCATCCCCCATGGTTATCCGCTACATCACACAGGTATGTCCCCATGTCCGCTGTATCCCAATTTATCCCTATCTTGTCCTATCTTATCACCACTATGCCACTATGCGCTTTGCTAGATGTTGGGCTGCGGTCACACCACTATTATTGGGCGTCCTTTTACAGTATGTGCACTATAATTTCCTATTGATGTTGGTTATGCATCCCATGATATGCCAATGAAATCCAACTTTTGACCATGGCCATGGCACATATATAAATCATTATGCATATTCCCATATATTCCCCATTCACGGCATATTAAGTTATATAATATTTCATAAAATTCATGAAAGTTCCCGCAAGATTCTTCCTGAATGTGTCCATTGATCCCCATAGATGACTATGCCTATTGAATACTATTGATAAATGAGTCACTTTTATAATGTTATATACCCCATTGGCCATCATGTTTAATCCCATGGCTGTAAGTCATTATTTCATGGTTTAAATACTTTTGGCTTGAGATGAGTATGATTAAATGGTTAATATATGTTAATATCCCTTTCAACCACCATTATTATATCAACGGTTAAGGGAAGACTCTCCATAAATCAATCCCCATTTATCCACATGGATATGAATGGGAACACATTCCCATTCAGATTGTTCCATCCCATTAAGATCCTCATTTATCCACATCAAATATGCACTTCCAATGTTGTAGTTAATCTAATTGCTCTTAAATCCAAGTTGTTTCCTGGTTAATCATGGTCAAACATGGTTGAAACTCATAAATTTCCAACATTATCCCATTCATATGCCATAAAATCATCATTGTTGATGATGCGATCTCCCATGTTTCAGGGTGAAAGCTCCATTTTTTACGGATCAAACCGCTGCAGCTCCTGCGTTTCTCGGCCACTGCGGCGCTGTGCCCAGAGCTCTGCCCCGGCGGCGTCACCCAGCGCCTTGAGCTTCGATGACCAGCCCAGGCGACGGCAGTGGAAGTGGAACCTGGCGCCAATAGTGATTTATGGAAATATCTAGCTTACAAATATGTATATATATATATATTATAATTAAGTATATACATGTATATATATATATACGTATAGATAGATATAGATAGATAGATATATCCTGTATAAATGGTGAATTTTCATGGATTTTCCCATAATAAGTTGGTTGTGCTTGGTTGGGTAGGTCCACACCTAAAATAAATCGCACTGATTTCAGCTACTAATTGCCATCATGTTCATCTTCAACATGTCAGGTATAGCACTATCTGCTGTTCTGATTCTCTTTCCTACTTGATATCATGTGGTTCAACACGCAAGGTAGCACCCAGCCATACCGTGTGACTGCTGGGATGATTCCCCCAATGGGGCCAGCAAAACACAGAAATAAAAGGCTCGGATGCAGCTGGATGCAGTTGGTACGGTGACTATCCATGATTATCTGGTTGGTGGTTTTAACATGTTTTAACCATCTTGAAAAATATTAGTCAATGGGAAGGATTATCCCATATATTATATATATGATGGAAAATAAAATTCATGTTCCAAACCACCAACCAGTTATGGTGTTGTTGTTAGGCTTGACACATTCCTGACATTTCGCCCACAGATCCCACTGATCTCACAGATCCCACACGTCCAAAGCAAAGCGCTGGAGAACGGAGCTGGGCTTCGCAAAGGCTGGGATCCAATAGCTGCACGAACCTCTCCAGTATCCCCCAGTCATGGGTGGTTTTTCTTCGACGTAGGAAATGAAGATCAACTTAAATGAGCCTACTATGGATTATGATACAGTAATATGCAAGAGCAAAGCAGATCAAAGTATATATTGTACAACTCATTATAACTCCCATGTCATGACCAATTAAACAGGAAATTTGTGATGGCTCGAATAAGTGAAACATGGTGAAACCAACCGTGGAGCCGCCTTTCGACAAGGCCTTGGCCGCTGCATAGAGATCCTGGATCGTGGAACGAAGCCTCTGATCCAACAGTCTGCGAACTGGAAAACCACTATGATCCACTATGGCTAATAAGTTTTAACTGGTAATTCATCTACAAACAACCAATTTTCCCACTTTCCATAGCAAACTGTTAGCCAGGGAGTAGAGGGATAAAATGGCCATGGCCATCGTGATGTGCCTCAGGTACCCAGATGGTTTCAGGAGCACCCAATTGATGGCACATATTCCACAATGAAAGAATTATGCGGTGGATTTCCCATGGGGAAAACAACAGAAATAGCTACAAAACAACATCCACTCAGCTATTTGTTTTGCCAAAATTGCCATGAAAAAACATCCATTTTCATAGTATTCTCCATTATAAACCCATGGAAACCTCCATGTATCAGGCCCACCATGACCATGCGATTTCACAGTCCTTGTGCCTGACGGTGCTCGGAGGTCCATTCCACGCCTGTGAAGATGATGTGTTGGGATACACTCGGAGGTCCCATGGTCAAAATCAGGCAAGATTGGGAAAAAAGGCAAACCAGTATCCACATTAGTATCATTCATGTATCCATGCTATTGAGCACTAAAAATTATCAACTAAGTTCATTCAGTGGGATCAAACACAAAACGGTCACCTGGGATCATCGTACCCACATGGGTTTTGACAAATTTGGGTATGGCCGGGCTCAAATATGTCGTACACACCCTGAAGTTGTCATGGACCTTTTGGGGTGCGAGCTTCATCTCTGTGATACTTCAACTGAACTCTTGAGTCAAGAGAACCAGGTAAGACTGGTAGGACTATTTACATCATTTTACATCCTATAGTCTGGTGTGAATTGCAAGGGTTTGTCACGTTTGACTTGCTATATCCCAAAATAAAAAGGAATTTTCAAACCACGCGTGTATAGGGGTTTATCAAATCATTCAAACACAGCACGTTGAATTACTCGATTTGATTATCCAATATGAATTTGGATCATATCCCAATAGGGTACACATATTCATATTATCATATTTTGTTCATATTGGATAATCATATCCATCGGATAATCCATAGGGTACACAAATCCCATGGTTTAAAATCTAATTGTAAAGTTCCCCCTGAAGCTTGGACAATCCACATCAAATTGATGGCTATATCATGCTATATCATGCTATATCATGCTATATCATGCTATATCCCATTCTCCTATTCAATTGGTTGGTTTGACAAACATGATTTTAAGAACAACTCCATACTTGCTGCTTGATATTCTCATATATATCTCATATATATCATATATCCAATGGTTTGTTCTTGTGGATTCCACATGAATTGGTTGAGACTCTCACCGCAATCGGCCGCAATCGGCCGCAATTCATCCCGTGTCTGGCCTGGACCAGTGCTTTGCTACGCCGCAAGCGCCAAACCTTGCCGGAAAAATGCAGATTGATGTTGCAAAGGTGAAACATCTTGTTGTTTAGATGTAGAGAAACGTCACTCAAGCAATTTGGAAATCGGAAACGACCAGTTGTAGTTGAACATGTTTTCGTATTGCAACAAATTCAAAGTTGCAGATCAAAATTTATGAATGGTGGTACTGTACTGGTCAGTTTACCCCGCTTTTGACTGGTTGTAACGGGTGTCCATCACCTGATTAACCGGTGGTCCCATATCCCCAAATAACACACGTTTGACCAATAAAGGGGATGAAATTCATGATGAAATCCAGGATTGAGCCAACACCAAGATCAGAAAGGGAGGTGAAGAAGAGTTAACATGAGGTATGTAAGCAAAAACAAGACCGTGACTATGGACAAAACATTATAGTGTATTCGCGGGTTTTCAGTTGAGTGTCCTATCCCCAAACAAAACCATGTATTTAACGGACGATTGCGGATGCCGGAATTGTGGTTTTAAATTGTCCATCTTGAGAAGCCAGTGGAATTGGTTCATCCTGGTCATCCTGATCAAGTTTTCGTGGGGAAATCCCCACAGATCCCCGCTTGGTGCCATTTTGTGAACATCCAATAGATGGTGCCAAAATTGACATCTCAAAACGATGTGGGCATTGTGTCCTTTACAAAAGAGATGCCGAATGCTGTTGAATGTGGTTTCTGGCATATTTATAGTGTTGCTAAAAAATGACAATTCTGAAGTGCATCCATCTACATGTACAGCTGTTACCCATCTTCGTGTTCAGTTTTACATGTGGTTCTTTCATTTGTCACTCATCATCATCATCATCATCATCATCATCATCATAATCATATATATACACATAATACACATATGTATAGTACACATATGTATACCACACACACAAACACACCTAGAATGTGCTCCATGCAAGACTTGCTTTTGATGCCATGTGACTCGGGCGTCAATCTCCAAATCGCTATCTGAATCCAACTCCTGGGCGCGTTTCACCGATGTTCAGCAGGTCTACGGTAGATTTTAGCAATGGCTTTGTCTGAAATGTGAGGGAAAAAACACCGACATTATCCAAAATTTGGATGTTTAAACACTGGCTTATCATATTTTTGCTCCACTGAATGGGCAGAATTGGAGTATATTGGAGGTATATCCCATGCTCAAACCAACTCAAATTTGCAATGGGGGTACTGAGCCTGGCAAAAACTATCCTAGCTCACTCTAATCTATACAATACCTGGCTTACCTTCTGAATGAATATATATATATATATGTATATATGTGTTCCTCTGTATATTGCCACAAATCAATCGTTAGCCAAGCTTTGAGGTTGGCCCAGAATGGCCCAGACTGCATGTCATGCAGCCGTGGCCTACCCTGGTGCTACTGTAGGAACCACCACATAAGCCTCCAGCGTGAAAGATAAGTAAACACATGTAAACACCAATAAGAGGGACATCAATTAGCACAAGTCTTACTAAAACTAAAAAATGCAGCAATTCAGTTGCTCTATAGAGATGTATAGAGTGCAGCATAGTATAGTTGTGTAGATCACACTTGACACTTCCTCATACCTGGAAGCCAAATGAGGCCCACAGCCCAGCGGCCTCGACAGCTGCAGGCCGACGCATGGCTGAGAACGCCGGGAGCAGGTATGGCTTATGGGGTATGCATGGGTATGCTTACGGGTTGATGATGATCAGTACCTGAGTCGCGGGGAGATTTTAAGGCAAAGAGCCGGCATCCAACGGGAGAGCCCTAGGATTTTGGAGACCAAAATCAAATTTCAGTTTGTGGCTTTGATTTATCAACAAGAGAGCAAGTTGATGTTGATGGATTTGACCTTGGAGATACAGTACCCCATCATCATATTTGCTCTGAGTCGGAAGTTTGATAATAGGTCCCGTTTGTTGGCTTCATATCCATTGGGGGTACCATTTGAATCCAAGCATGCATTTCCACTGTTGCGGTATACCGCAGGCCTTGAGCCAGTGGCAGCAGTGGGTCAAGGCCTAAGTTAGGGTCAGTGTCCACTGTCCACTGTTTTTTTTTGCCAAACTCTGTGTGTGTGTGTGCGTCCCGCAATCATCATGCTATATAAGGCATTTTGAAAATGCTTGCAGCCTGAATCAGCCTCAAGTTTCACAGACACCTTTCAACTCATCTGATCTGCCAAAATACAACAAACAGTGCCATGTACATGCATATAGCATGATATGATAAATATTATATGCATGTGCGTGATGTTTTGAATAATCACATCACATCAAATCACATCATTCACTTCCAAAACTAGATCAACCAAGGTTGCATTGTGATCTACTGGAGAACTGAAATGGATAATCCATTGTGTGCAATTGTGTGCATGGTGAGCATGGTGATTCAAAATGGGAGCTACAATCTGCCTTTTCCGAGTGCACAATGATTCCAAATCCGGATATGTTCTGGGGCTACCATGGGGATAGCCGAATCCCTTAGCCGCTTACCCTTTATATAGACAGTTGTCTGCTAGGCTAGGAAAACTGATGGGACACCCTTGAACCCCCCTTACATTGAACATGGCTACCCTTAGAGATGCGACACTCATGGTGACCTTGACCGGTGGGGTTGCGAAGTCCCAACTTTCTCTACCCATGTTTGATTCTATCCCCATGATGGTCGAATGACTTGGATGATTTGGGGCTACCCCCCATTAGGAAACCTCACTTATGGCCCTTAGCACTTATAAATGGGAAACAGAAACATCCTGTAACTAGTTGGTTACTGGTTGGTGGTTTCAAGCCCTCTGAAAAAATATTAGTCAGTTGGGATGATTATTCCCAATATATGGACAAAAATATAAAAAGCCATGTTCCAGTCACCACCAAGCAGTTAGTTTCATCGCCAGACCTGGTACATCTACCCTCTGGTAAACTAACATAACTATGGAAAATCACCATTTTCAATGGGTAAATCCACTATAAATCACCATTTTCAATAGCTATGTTAGTCATTACCAGAGGGTATGCCATTGAGAACTGCTGCATGAAGCCCAGCCAGTTATAACTGCTGCGCGCCTCCCAGCGCCAGAACTTGCTCGGCAAGGCCTTCGGAGATCTGTTGGGCGCCGCCCTTCACAGTGCTTTCCTGGACAGCAAAAAATAGAAACGACAGTACCCTCTGGTAATGACTAACATAGCTATTGAAAAATGACCATAGAAATAGTGGATTTTCCCATAAAAAATGGTGGATCTTTCCATAGCTATGTTAGTTTACCAGAGGGTAACAACTCTTGTTCAAAAATGGTGGTATTTGGTGGTATAGCAATGATTTAGAAAAAATGAAAGTAAAAAGTCGTGTCCAAAAACGGTCGTAATTTGTTTGCTAAAGAATTTGTTTTCCATTTTTTGAAGAGATTTTACTTTGTCGAAAAAGATGGGATGGTTAATAATTATTATGAATATGCTGATATTCATTGATCCAAACAATCAACAAATCAAAAGCAATCAAACATACTATTCAGTGACTGAGCAGTAATATGTTTAATGATCAGCCAGGGCTTGTGGTCATAGGTTCTATGAATAAAGTATAATTTTAAACACGAACAACCATATGATTTACCATAATTCGCCATAACTTTCACTGCCTAGGTCTATCTCCCCTTCGTCCAATTCTGGGAATTTCACCATCAAACAGGCCCCTTTCACGGCCAGGATCAGCAGGTCCAATCCAAGCATCAAACAAGAGGATTTACCCTCTGGTAATGACTAACGTAGCTATTGAAAATGACTATTTATAGTGGATGTTCCCATTAAAAATGGTGGATCTTTCCATAGTTATGTTAAATTACCAGAGGGTAACCACAAAGATCCGCTGTTACCTTCAAATACAAATACTGTAATGGACATTGTGGATTCAGAAAAATCCTTTCTGAAAACTCTGATAATCCAATTTTGTCGGAGCAAAAAAAAACAGCTGGCGATGGAACATAAAATATCCATATTATTCCATATTCATCCATTCTGAACACAAAAACCGTCTAATTACCAGGCTTTATTCCCAGAGACCTTCCTTTGAAAGGATCTAAGCAAATTGCCAGCTTCGCAACCAGTAAGGCATCACAGGATATCACAAACTCTCTCCGTCTCAAGATTTCATGCAAACAAAACATCGCACAGCGGAAGTATGCATTGCCGACGTACATAGCTCTTTAGGCTTGGACAAATCAGTATTCCAATATGTTCCAATGAATTTGTTTGGTGTGGGTTTTGAACAGCATTTGCCCGAAAAAAATGTTTGGTCAATGTTGGAGTTCCTTGCAGGTTCGTGTAAACAAGGGTTTCTGTGGGGCCGCTGGGCCAATCTAACTTGGAAATGGAAGAATGATTTCATGATTACCCTCAGGTAACCTAACATAGCTATAGAAATCCATCGTTTTCCTGGGAAGTAATTTACATGGTGGATGACGCCATATCCACGTTATCCATGCTATTGTGGGATTTCCAATGATTGTCACGTTTAAACAAACACATTGGTCTCCCCCATTGCGTGTTCATCAATGTCAGACCATAAGCTATGGATATGGTTATCCATACATGTTATGTGTACATATATCATCATCCTGAAGTAAATAGAATATGGTTTTATTGAGAAAAAACTGCTCTATCTACTCAGACTGACTGTAAGTAAACAAATAAATAAATAAATGCAATATATATATATATAATTATATATATAATTATATATATAATTATATATATATAATTTTATATAGATATAATCATATATAGATATAATTATATATATAATTATATATATATCCCCCAAAGTAGGACATTGCACCAGATCCCCATTTCCCAGCTTCTCCTGGAAGCCGTTGTTGATCTTCAACAGTCTTTCTACCTGAGCTTCCCCGGCATCCCAAAAGCTGGTGTTTTAACCAGGTACCCTCCGGTTAAATCACCATTTTCATAGGTCAATCATGGTAAATCATCTATAAATGGGCCAACTATAGCTATGTTGGCTATGTTGGTTTACTGGAGGGTATAGGTTCATGACTCCACTGCATTTTGCTATGTTCTTTGGCAAGTCATACAATTCCCAGCTTTTTGTTGGTTCCCAGAAGCCTCCAGTTATCAAATTATGTCAATCGCTGGTTGGTGGTTTTAACCATCTTGAACAATATGAGTTCGTCAATGGGATTATCCCATACATGAAATGGAAAATAAACAATGTTTGAAACCACCAAGCAGCTATGAGTTTCATGGAAAACACATGAAAACACTATTAGATACTATTAGATGGTACAATGACATGGAGATCATTTGATGATTCCGCAATGGATTATATAATTCTCAGTGTCCCATGGATTCTCCCCATGGGAAACCGGGATTTTTCACCAATCCGCAGAGGTGCTCCGCCAGCGCAGGCCACGTAGTGCAGGAAGTGCAACCAGGAGAGTTCCTGTGATCCAAAAAAAAGCCGCGAAAAAAGGCGATGGACGGCGATTGATCTATGGTGTGTTTATGGATTGATGCTGATTGATGCTGATTGATGCTGATTGATGCTGATGTGGGCAAATAATCAGTAAACGTCAGTCATCGGTGCTTGCGACACATATTGATGATACGTCCGAAAAATCCACGAAAAAATGATGAGGTATATGATCTATATTGGTTGGCCCGGAGGTAAACAAACTGCTTGGAGGTCGAGCCACATGCTCTCCGGTGGGGATCACATATCCCATTTGGGAATGGTAACCATACCACCTGAAAACATGGTGATGACTGGGGGATGGTTCATGATTTTTGCAAACATTAATATGAACTAAAGTATGAAATGTTGCTTGCGGTTCATAACTTTGCTGCGGACTGTTTCGATTTTGTTTGAATGCCTTTAAGAAACACAAAGCCATAATCAACATATGATAACCACTAACTAAACCATAAAATAGGTTGTCATTGATAGACTTTTAAGATTAATTAGGGCTAGAAACAAAGAAATCAGAACCATTTCACCAAGACATATGATAGATAAATACTGAACCAAACCAAACTGATCCTGTACTCACCAACAATTCAGAAAAGAAAATGATCCAACTTTTTTTTTCGTGTGTGGCTTCTGTCAACAAGATCACAGGCGCACCTGTTGTGTGATCCTGTGATCCTGTAACATCCGACGACTAAGGGTGCTTCATCACAATTGCTCAAGGCAAAATCACCATAATATCACCCTTGCTCACCTGAACAGTTGAGAGGAGAACTGGAAACGGAACATCGAAGTGGCCACTCAGCAACTTCAATATATTTAAGATAAGTTGGTTCAGTTCAGTAGATTTACTGTGGTTTATGATCGAGTCGAGTACAGTATGTGTATGTATAGATACATACATTACATTTACATTGACATTGACATTTACATTCACATTTACATTTACAATCACATGTACATTTACACTTACACCTACTTTACACTACATTACATTGTATTACATGTACATTTACATTTACACTTACATTTACATTTATATACATTTACATTACATTTACATGTACATTTATATTTACACTTACATTACATTTCATTACATTTCATTACATTTCATTACATTTCATTACATTTCATTTCATTACATTACGTACATTACATTATATTACACTACACTACATTACACTACACTACATTACATTATACACTACATTGCATTGCATTGCATTGCATTGCATTGCATTACATACATGCATACATGCATACATAGACAGATAGATGGATGGATGGATGGATGGATGAATGGATAGACAAATAGTAAGACGTAACCCCAGAATTCACATCGAACAGTCAAAATAAGGGGGACCAGCGGCCCCTTCCGGCCTCCGGTTCACATCCAAAGACGCCACGAACCATGGCAGTGACTAAGGCACGGGTAGCACCAGCCCCGGAGTTGCCCACCAGCTTTCCCTTGGTGGAGGGATCTACGGGATGACTGTAGAAAACAGTAAAGACATATATATATATATAAGTATGCTATATATATATATTGTATATGTATGTGTATATATGTATGTATATATATATGTATAACATGTGTATATGTATATATATATTATTACAAACGAGTGGCTGGCAAAATTACTTACGACTTGCAAATGACATGGCCAAAGCCGGTGGTCCCCTATAGGTTGTAAAGGTTTTCACCCATATTTAAACATCCCAAGTCCATTCCTACTACTCTTGTCTACCGCTAAATTTTGTCATTTATTGATATAAGGGCACAATATGTCCCTCAAAGAAATTCAATTGCTGGCAGTTTTGGGGGGGTTGACATCATGATCATCCACTGTATTTTGGGGGCATTCCCCACGTGGGTTTAGAGACTTGTCTGGATCACATGCGATCAGTCACTCAGCTGAAGCAAAGCAAATTTGGGGAGTCCCCCAAAACTTGGGCATGATTTCCCATATCCATCTGGGTAAATTATAATATTTCACTAACCTGAATTAAGGCCATTTGGGGATGATTTCCCTTACTAACTATGATTATAGTGAGGTCGCAGTGAGGTCGTTATAATTTACCCAGATCCATAATTTATCCAGACATATCTAAAATTTAAACCACAACTGGGGACTGGGGAGCGAGCACGTGTTCGACCTGGATCAGCCAAGGAACCAAGACTTCTCCAGTACTTTGCTGGTCCAGTCTGAGGCGCCCAGAGATTTCTCGAAAAGGAGGAGACGTATGTGCGCATGGATGAATATTGTGAACGCATATATATATATATATATACTGGTTGGTGGTTTCAACCCCTCTGAAAAATATGAGTCAGTTGGGAATATTAGACCCAATATATGGAAAAATAAAACATGTTCCAAACCACCAACCAGATGTATATATATATTATACATAGAAATAAAGAGAGATAGGCAAATAGATGTGTATATGCATGTATATAGTATAAAGAAGTCGAGCAACATGTATTGAACACACATTCATATAGTGTAAAAAAATACATACCTGACCTGGAACCCAAAGTGACTCCATATTCGGAGTTTGCTCATACAGGGACCATACATGGACGGGATGAACTACCAAGAATCAACAAGTACCGAGTACAGCAAGCATCCATGGTTTCTATTACTCGCACTCACAAAAGGCGCAGCTTGAAACAACGGATATCATTGGGTGTATTCACCAACAAACATGATGAACCTATGATGAAGAAACGTGGAATCAGCCTGATGATCCCCCAGTTGGCCCAGGGAATCCTGGCAAACACCGCCCCGACCTAGTCTTGAGGGGTCGTCGTGTGGGGGTAATATCCTATGAAATCACACCTACATGTCAGGGATAATTGGGTAAATCAATGACCATCAACATGAGTCATGATATAGCCAGGTATACTTACGATTTTAAGAGAGGCTTAACATGGCTTAACCCCACTATACCAGGTGTGCTATAGCCTCAATACCTGAAGTACATTACACTCGTCTGGATGCGTGCGAATTGAATGGGCTCGTCTATGTATATAGATAGATTAGCCTTTCAATCAGAGACCGCATGAAAATCATAAAACACAGACCAAACATGACCAAACCAACTATATGAATTTCCTCAATTGTCCCTTAAGTTTACGTGTGTAACCACATTTTAGAATCAGGGAATCTTTCAAAATCCCAACAATAGGACTTCAATAGGACATTTACCAAGCCCTGTTGAACTATGTTAATCTTTCAAAATCCACATGTTCATCATTTTCATGATGAATCCCCTGGTTTGGCTTCGTCCCGCACCAGGCGCGCCAGGCGCCTGGCAAACTTTCCAGTGACATCCATTGGGGCTCCAGAGCCTACACTGAGGCCTCGGTTTCAAGATGTCTGTTGTCATGGGGGGATAAGACATTGTTTATATATATATATATGTATGAATAGATGACGGATATATATATAGATAAAGGGATATATCATGATATACACATGTATTTTCAAATTTCCTATAACATGGGTGTACACGGGGCGTGAAGATGCTTTGGGGGGATACATTGAAGATCAAGAGTGAGTGGTTTAGAACTCATATACTACTGAAATATATCCCATATCTAACGGGCTTGGGAATTATACGATCTGATTGAATCATATTGGGTCTACTGGGATTGTTAGCAATGTCACCCCCCTATTGATAAAGCCATGATGATTGATTAGGTGTGATAACCCAGGAATTTTCGAATCCGGGGCTGACATTATACAAGTTCCAGACCCATACTGCAACATCCAGCTGGTGCACAAGAAACATTGTGCTGTACAGATTTCAATGCAATCGCATGTCCACTGTCCACACGCTCCTTGGACTCTTTATCAAGTACTTCAACTTTGTGCTTTTGATCGTGCACCCCAGTTCAAGTATATCAAATAAGCCCCATTGACAAAATATGTATCTACCATAAACCGTCAATGTATGTGTATTCAATTCATAATATTATTATTGTTTATTATTATCATTATTACTATATATGTATATGTATACGTATGTATATTAATATTATAGTATATTATATTATTATATTATATTATATTATTATATTATATTGTATTATATCATATTGTATTATATTATATTGTATTATTATATTATACTGTATTACATTTGTATATATGCCATTATTAGCCAAAGAATTCTAAGCTAAATGTTCGTTATTGAAGGATGTGGTACTAACGAGACTCCACAACTTGGCTATCTAGGGGGTCTGGTTATCCTGGCAATCCTTGGGTGTTTCTCAGCCACGCCAAGGCGCGGGCACGTAGGGTGCAGAACCAGAGAGTCAGTTGCACCATCAGCAAACCGCCCAAGCCGATGCCCGAAGGAATGTCCTGGGATCGGCCGATCAAACGGCCTCACTGCCTCACCTTGGTGAACATCTTCACCGGAGCGTTTTTCCCAAATAGCTTGGCGATTCCTGGTGGATCTTCCCTTAAACCAATCCATTGAAAAGTCAGAAAAAAACTTGGAGATACTTGGAGGAATAGCTTGCAAGCTATGTCATTGTGATTCCTCCATTAAATTAGCCAAACAAATCTGAAGAATACAATCATGTAACTTAACCCACAATCATCCCAAACAAAATCAAAAAAAAACCTAGGCAGACTCTTGAATGTGGCGTGGGTACTGTATATAACTGGAGCCATTGATCTCCCTCCAACTGAATGGGTTTGAAGTGAAACCGAAATCGTTCGCCGCCACGAACGCTGCCCAAACTGGAAGTTAACTAGAGGGATATGGAAGGCATATAATCATAACATATGTATACATATATATATATATATACGATTATATATGAAACTACCAAGATACAACGACCCTATCATCTAATGTGGCTGAACTTATATGATATACCCTGACTTACAGGCTATAACTGTCTCCCACTCGCTGGCGCGAGGTTGAAGAAATTCATAATCAACAGATACCATCACCATCTGATTATTTAACATAGCGATGGAAAATCACCATTTTTAATAGGTAAACCATCTATAAATGGGCCATTTTCCATGGCTATGTTGAATAACCAGAGGGTAGATGCTTTGAGTGACAGTCTTCGTAATCGTTCAAATTGAAAACTTCAAGACTTGCTCCACAGCTCACCAATCCTGTAGAGCCTATCACGAGGCTATTGCTTTCAACTTGCTGTGGAAGCCTTGGGCCCAAGTCATCTTTGCACATGATCACAAAGCTTATTGCTATGGAGATGATACAGTATGTTACAGTATATACTTTGCTGGGGCCATTGTGTTTGTAGAATTTGCTGCATCTCAATGCTTCAGTATCTTGTAATCCCAGCCCCTAACATCAAACACCCCCCTAAAACAGTCTCAGATGTGTACAATTAAATCCTCCACTGAACCGTGGTTTATGGCGGGATTTGATATGAGGGGGAAGAGAATCTCTTCCCACAAATAGGACAATCTCAACCTTCAGGGACACAGTCGGCCGATGCCAAGCGTCACTGCTGTACCTTGAGACCATGTGCGGCTCAAACATCAACACCCGTAGATTTGGCATAAATATGAGATCATATCAGTCTCTCTGAACATTTTTCACTCATTGGTGGTATACCTACCCCTCTGAAAAATATGAGTTCGCCAGATTGGATCATCATCCCCAATCTGGTTGGGGAAAATAAAAAATGTTCCAAACAACCAACCAGTTATAGTTATAGTATGTTATATATAGTTAACCACCACATAGCCATTGGGATGATGAATTTCCCAACTGTTTCTGGAAAGTCATAAAATTCCATGGTTCCAAACCACCAACCAGTTCATTATCAATTCTGACTATGAAACATGCCACAAACGGGGGGTCAATCCCCCATGTTCAGGCACCTTTTGCGCCCCAGAAGGGGCAGCAACTCGCTGACGGCGAGTTAAGGGGATACTGTAGTTAACTATGGTGTAATATGGAGTAATACGTTAGAATATGTTAGAATATCGTACAATATGGGGAACACTATTTGTATATAATTCGGCATGTAATCACAAATCAAGAAAAACAACTGAGATTTTAGCATTCAAGGTGGTGCCCCAGGTCGTTCGCTACAGTAAGTTGCTTTAGATTCACTAGGCTTTAAATAGTGATTTTTTCACTACAGTAACTACAGGACATCCTGGCACCTTGTTGAGACCGAGATGCTGCAAAGGTCCGGGCAAGCAGTGAAGATCTAAGATTCGCTTCCCAGCATAGTGCTGTGGATGGACTTCAAGTCCCAAATCCTCCAGGGAAAAAAAAATGGCGAAGGTCCTGTGAGAACAACTGATCCGGATAATGATTGGTTTCTTTTGCAAGATGTCTTATCAATTGTTCTTGTTTCCCCTTCTTCGGATCAGTTGTATTGCGTATCTATATATATAGAGAGAGAGATTATGATTATTGCAAGGGGAAGTGAAAGACGATATCAGGAGGAGGTGGTTCAAGAGACGTGATCTATTGGCAAGCCATGATCTATTCATATCTGTTCCAAAATTGGGCACATCCACATTCCAATCATATGACCATCAGCAATGTGAAGTGTGATAAACCAAATGCCATCAACCTGTCGTTAGGGGCGGACATGTTGACAAAAACAACCCATTGCTGGCATCATTGGGAATATATAGTTTATTTATGTGGTTTAAAGCGCATCATAGCTGGACCAGCAACAAGATACAGGGTAGCATCCTACAAGATAGAAAATACCCTAGTTTGCGATGGAAAACCAATGAACACATCATTTTTACTAGAACAAATCATCTAAAATGGGGGCCATATTCCATGGCTATGTTAAATTACCAGAGGATAAAGTCCTACAACGTGGGGTCCCTCAGTTATAAGATGTTAATTATGAGTATTATGAACCGTCGTTACGGGAGTTATAAACCAACTTAGCTATCTAGGGGGCCCCACTTTGTACCTTTTCCCACCCTTCTGGCAGTGGGTTCTCTAGTCAAAACCATGCCTCGATCAGTTCCCGAATCTGTGGTTGCTGCTGCTTGGGAGCCTAGGACCCAGTGCGGTTTTCAGATGGTTTTCTCTTGAAATTTGAAATGGGGTATACGATGGCATACGGTATACCACTATGACTTAAATGTGAATAGGTTAATTATGATCTGATGATTAAAGCAAGCTTTGGTTTCTATTGTTTTGTACAATATTGTACAAACACAGTGTGAAGTGTGACCGACGAAAGAAAAAAAACTAAAGGATTGCCCCACCTATATATATATATATTGCACATGTTGTAGTATTCCAAGACACATCCTAACCTCGTGTTGACCTCGTTTTCCAACTTTGTCCCGCTGTCAGCTTTAGCCGTCCACAGTGCTGAAGCGTGCATCAATACCAACATATGAAAGACAGCAGGGATGTACATCTTTCTTTTCTGAATCTTGATGGTTGGTTAAGAAAAAAAAACATGTCTGCCCTTCTGAAACTAAATGGTAGATTTTATTGCTCTATCGCCATTACATATGCCATGTATATGTCCAGTTTGGATCATTTTCAGGCCACTCCAGTGAAATGTACAGTACATGTATGTATATAATATATATATATTATATAATTATATATGTATATGTGCGCTTATACAAAAAAAAAAACATATACTAGCCTATATGTATCTATACATATCCTGTATACACATTTAAACACATCATATATCTTCATGATATTCCATTGATTTTCAGCTGGTTTCTTGCCCCGATGCCGAGGTCGGGGCAATCCACTGACCGCCGAGGTCGAGACCTCGACGGAAAAAGATTGGTAATTTCACCATGAAGAGTTGGGACTTGTACACCATCAGTTGTGATATTCAGGCCAGCCAAAAACGGGATGTCAATGGGAAAATTATGGTGAATAATGGTTAGATAATGAGTATTTACACATGAACATTGGAGATTAAACCAACATTCTTTGATCATCCAATGGAACATAATAATATGTGGTTGGTCAATGGATCAGTTTAGGTAAAATCTTGACTGAACACCATGGAATCAAGATGATTCAACCGCATCAATTGCGGGATGTTTTCTGTAATTTGAAAGGACAATTGTGGCATTGACAATGGAAAATGAGGACTTTCTCCATCTCCGATTGATGCTAACAGACTAATGAAGCAATTATATAATCATGATTCTAATAGGATCTAATAGGTACAGTATATAAGCATGCAGCATAGTTGAGATTGCAACAATGGTTCTGATGATTAATGATTCTAATGCATTGGTTTTGTTTTTTTTTGTTCGACTGAACTTATATTCTTCCACCGCAAATCAAGGGGATTCAAGCACAAAATGTCCCTTCAACCAATAAAGGGATATCAAGGTCACTGCAAGCTGTTAACCCCCCAGTTGTATAAGGTGGTCTATAAAGCCCCATTAAGTATATATATATATAATATAATAACATATATCTGTCTAATTCTTTATATACCATGAACATCCATATATATATATATATATATATATGTGTGTGTCTAATTTTTTATATACCATGAACCATGGTCAGCCTAGATATAAACCAACGTTGCCAAACGATATTGGAAGTCCACCAAGCCTAACAGAGTCCCTTCAGATCCCACCGTTTTTCAGTTTCAGCCCAGTCGCGTTGATCTCCGAAATGCACCTCTGCAAACATCGGTGGTACAGAAATTCATGGGATCTACCCTCTGGTAAACTAACATAACTATGGAAAATCACCATCTTTAATGGGAAAATCCACTATTAATGGTCATTTTCAATAGCTACGTTAAATTACCAGAGGGTAAACCAAACAATACCTTTCCCCCAATTGACATAGACCCAAACTAATCATCCATTTTTAGCAGGGTTGGGCCTAGGGTTGGTTTAAACGGTTTAAACATTTTTTGTTTAAACGATGTTTAAACCAAAAATGTTTAAACCATTCCGGGTAGTAGGGGTGACATTCGGAATTCCTTTAAACATGTTTAAACACTATGTTTAAACATGTTTAAACGAATTCCATGACCCAAACGCAGGAGATCATGCTCGCTGTGCTCATCAAAATGGCCACAAGTTTCAACTTATCAACGATGCACCAGCAAGATTTGCTGCAAGCCAATCAATTCTATGTATGGATACCTTGCGCAGACGAATGTCGGTCAAGCTGCACTTTTTTCTGGGCGTGAGTTTTCAGTTGTCAGTTGGTGTGCGCTAGCATCCACTGGAGAAGAGGTTGGTCCCAAGAGTCAGGCCAGGAGCCGAAGTCAACTGTGTACAAACTAATGCACCAAGGTCGCGTCACAAAGCGGACCAGCAGCGCAGCGAAGCCGGCTCCAAAGGCCCTTGCTCGTGCACGTGACCGGAAGGTCACCCACCATCGCGCGTCCACTGAACCCTCGGGAGGGTAATTTGACAGAACGACCATGTACATTTCGGTTTCGAATCTGTAGCTCGAGCAATCACCAGCTACGGTGTTGAAGTGAAACTTCAAGGCATGCACAAAAAACAACAGAGCGGCACTTTCATTGGAACTTGGACATTGGCTCAGACAAGGATTCTGGGCTTTGATTGTTTTAAGTGGCGCTCACTGCTCCAGGGGTGACACATAGAGAGGTGGTGCAGCTTTTGCTGGACCTTAATCCACATCGACAACGGCTTTTTGACGCTGTCTGAAATCTAACACAGTTGGCAAATTCATTTGGGAAGCGACCAAGCGGCTCAGGCGGTCGGGATCCATATTTCCACAGGACTGCAAGTCTCTCTTGCCTCCGAGGGAGAAGAGGCGCTCTGTACTAGCTTGGCTGGCAGGGATGGAAAGAAAATACCTGGCTGGCAAAGCTAGCTTCGGAAAGTCTTTCACGCCAACAGATTTCCACCACTTCAACGGAGCCAGGCCTGAATCACCAGGTGAAGACAGCAAGTAAGCGTAGCACTCATTGCGCAATGCAGTGTGGAACTCTGTCCAGGTTGTCTTCTCTTCGGCTGGCTCCGCAGGCGCTGGATCTTTCCGAGAGCTGCTGCAAGCACTGAATCTTGAAAAGAATACATCTGTTTTCTGTTTTGCAGGAGAAATGGGAACATCTTTCAAATCGGAGGTGTCAGGCGGAGCTTCAAACATCTGCTTGTAGACCTTGAGGCAAAGGGCGACCAAGTTGGCATTGACCTTTTTGCGGGCAGCAACTGCTCTCTCATCTTTGTCATCGTTGCTGTGCCCAGGCAGCCAGCCCAAGTCCTTAAACTTGGGATCAAACTGGGCTGCAGCAATCAAGAGCTCACGGACGTCAGAGGTAAGCTCACTCATGTACCCCACGTATTCAGAACTCAGATTTGCACGCAACTCCTTGGCCTCCGAAGTCAAAGCGTCTTGCCCGCAGGGCTTATCCTCCCCAGTTTCTTGAGGCAGCCAGATTTGTGTCTGTGGTAGCAAAGACGTTTGCACCGCACACAAGGCAGGGAAGTACAAACTGGCTGTTGGATATTTGGCTCCTTGAATCAACTCTGTGGCTGTGGCAATCGGGTTAAGCACACCAATGCATTGCTGAAGCTGAAGGAAATGTAGCTGGGACCAACCAGGAAGCTTTGTGGGATGCCTCTCTTTGTATTGTAGCAACGCTTTCTGCTTGCGCCTCGAAAAGCAAAGCGGGCAAGTTGCAGTTGGATTTCGTTTAAACATGTTTAAACACCGTGTTTAAACGTGTTTAAACGTAACTAATCATCATCAACCCTATGGTTTTCGTTTAAACATGTTTAAACACCGTGTTTAAACATGTTTAAACGCAACTAATTATCATCAGCCCTATGGTTTTCGTTTAAACCTGTTTAAACATTAGGTTTAAACATGTGAAAACGATTTCCGAATCCGATTTGCTCAAACCTTTTCGATCGTATGTGCTAAAAGAAAGATACCCCTATGTGGCTGAACTTTCAAAGGAAACATTTCAAGTTTCACGTTTGTCAGGCGAGTGACCAAACGCTCGTCATCAGCTCCAACGTGCTGTTCCAGCGTGTCTCCGTGTCCTGGATAAACTTCAAGTCGTTCTCTTTGGTTTCCGCACAAATCTCCAAAAGTTGCTTCCAACCCTTGACGCTCATGTGGAAGTGCTGTACGGTCGCTCTGCACATCTTCACGAGCTCCAGCACGGCTGCATTGCCGCCATACTTTTCCCGCTGCTTCTCTGGGTCCCTTGCTTTGAGCAGCTGGTGTTTAGGCGGTAACTGCAGGTTGTGAGCAGCGCAAGGAACATGCAACCCTACAAAGTTGCCGTGGCACTTTTCGGTTGTTGCAGCCACAACTTCTTGGCAAGCTTTCTTCACAGCCGCTTCTCCATCAGTGGTCAAGGTACCACGTCGATTCTCATGGATCTGCAGGGATGAAACGTGGATGACTTCCCCTTTAATGCCGGTGGTGACCTGGTCAAACATTCCTAGTCCTATTCCTATTCCGTGGAACTTTGGGGTCCTAGTTATGCCCCCGTGAAACTGCTATTATGATGGGAATACAATGGGAATCTACTTATGGTGGGACTACAATGGGACTATGATGGGAATGCAATGGGAATCTACTTGCGATGGGAATATAATGGGATTATGATGGGAATATCATGGGATTATGAAAGGAATGCAATGGGAATCTACTTGTGATGGGAATATAATGGGATTATGATGGGAATACAATGGGAATCTACTTGTGATGGGAATATAATGGGATTATGATGGGAATGCAATGGGAATCTACTTGTGATGGGAACTCCTAACTGCGGGGTCCTAGTTCTACTCCTACGTACTTTTACCACTCCAAACTCCATTCCGGAAACAGCTCCACTCTACCTCTGAGATTTCTGGAAACGTTTCTTCCTTATTTTTTAAAAAAGGATCAAACACATTTTCTCCCCGCCCGGCCGCAAACAGCTTGAAAACCTCGAGGATCTGCTCTCTTTGATTGGTGGCAGTCTTCGCTTCTGTCCACAAAGTCATATCAAGGCACACTGTGAACATTTCAAACGAGGGCGAAATCCAGCTCACAATATGCCCCATGAATTGATCGGAGGAGAAAGAAGCTGTCCAAAGGTCACACGCATAATGCAAACACGTGGTCTTGTCTTGCCATAGAACTTCTTGCAGCATAGAGCGCACATCCTGCAAGCAACACCCAGCCAATCACAACCCACAACAGCAAGGGCCCTTACCTCATTATTTTCGTTTAAACATGTTTAAACCTAATGTTTAAACATGTTTAAACGAAACTAATCATCATCACTCCTATGGTTTTCGTTTAAACATGTTTAAACATTAGGTTTAAACATGTTTAAACGATTTCCGAATCCGATTTGCTCAACAGATTCAAGACAGCTTTGCCCATCCTCTTCGAGGTGATCCAGCACTCTAGGCAGAACTTTGGACGACATCTTCTTCCGAGAACAGAAGTGGAACCTGGCATCGAGCTCGTGACAAAACTCTCTGAAGCCTTCGTGCTCGCACAACGACACAGGCTGACCATGTTTCACCAGAACTCGCTCAGCAAAGAAATCCGAGAGCTTTTCGTTTCTCGACTTCGGGTGCTTCATGTGAGAAAGAATTGATGGCTGCCCCGACTGCTCAGCAACAGTGGCCTTGGAAATGCCATGCTTCTCAAGATGTCGCTGCATTGGATTCATGGCTGCGTTTTTCAAATAGATTTTGCCTTCTTTCGCATCCACTGTCCCTCTCTTCCCTGAACAGCACACATTGCAAAAGAAAATCTTTTCCCATCCAACTTCGCACTCCTTTCTGAGATGGAAGTGATTGTAGAGCCATGAGCGCTTGCCTTCCAAAACTAATCTTTCTACATCTTCAGCATGCACAGGGCCTTGGGGCTCAGCAGCTGCACGGGCCCTCTTCAAGCCCCTTGCTGACACATGCGCTTTACCTTGTGCCTCCTTGGGAGGCATTTCAGCTAGTGGTGGCTTGCGCCAAAAAGAACTACGGCCACAAGAAAAACATCGCACTGACTCCAGAATGAAGCACTCAGAAATCTGTTCGTGACATGTATATCCAAAGTGCCCGTGGGGCAACTGTTTAAACGTTTAAACATTTCCGGGGTCATGGCTGTAAACGTGTTTAAACGGTTTGAAGTTTAAACGGTTTAATGTTTAAACGTGTTTGGACCGACTCTGATTTTTAGGAGGATTGACTTGTCTTCCAATGTCTTCCATACACTCAATTTAGCAGGGTCTGTGTTATACAGTTGTAGGGATGTAAAAGATGTGGGCTGATGTAAAGCGATCCCAAAATGGTTGGTGATTGGATCGTTGACCTGAACGGGTTTTTGTTAAATGGCACTTTCATACAGGGCACGTTGAATGCAGAAAATAGTATGATCAACGGTTATGGAATCAGATTCTACAATGCTCTGTGTATTTTCTCGACACCCTTGCCACAAAAACGCTCAAACGTAGTAAACATATGTAAAGATGCTATACATGGAACATATATGATTTGATGTTCCAATGAAATTTGAGCTAATTTTGGTGAGGGCCCATCTTGGTTTTCAGAGTATATACACCAGCACTGTTTGGACAAGGCCTCGCTATAAAATAACGGTCCTCCAGAAGCTATGTTGCACGTTACAACTGGGTTATCATGACATCTTTTGCAGCTCAAATCCACAACGGTTGATGTTTGAAATGGGTTTGCTTAAAAACAGAAATATCCAACTTCCGATTGTTTATTAAAAGGTCTCCTCATTGAAAAGGCAGTTTCGGGAAACACCCCCATTGTGAGACAAAACCCACCTGATTCATAGATAATTTTTTTACACGCAAATTATTCACTGGTTTTGGTGTTTATCCCCATATCGACGAAGCATATTATAAATGCCAAGATTTACAACTTAAATAAACAAACATATACTTAATTAGATCACCATTCAATTAATATCCAATGAATTCCAATGATGATATAAATTCCACATGTCACATATCAAATAAATATATGAATATGTGTGTCTCTTTGTTACATGGTAAAACAAAAAATCTTTGCCTAATCAAAATGTGGATTAAACATCAGGATCCCGATGTTTAACATCAACATTAGTCATGGTTCGGGTAAGCCCGTGGTTTTCGGGTCACCAACTTTTTGAGAAACACTCTCATCTTCCTCCCGAATTAGGTGAAAAAAAAACAGGGAAACAACAAAAAGACCCACCACCGACCACGTTTTTTGACGTTCATATCAGCTTACATAAATCAACTTAGATATAAACCAATGTAACTAATGAAACTGGATGTAACTAGTAGCTTGATTCACTGGGTTATATAGTAGACTTTTATGGTCTACGGTATTACCCTCTGGTAATTTAACATAGCTATGGAAAATCACAATTTTTCATGGGAAAACTCACTATAAATGGCCATGTTCAATAGCTATGTTAGTCATTACCAGAGGGTACTATGGTTGATCAACCAAGTTATAACTGGAGGGCCACCGAGGCACACTGTAGGTCCGCCCGCCCACCCGCTCGGAAGCTTCCAGGACACGCACGCGGAAGCCCTGGGACGAGTTGTGTGGAAAAAAGGGGGGGCAAATCCTTTGGACATCCCATGGAAACATAGGAATTTTGAGTTTCAGAACCGGTGATTTTACTGGAAAACTGCGGATTTATTATATATATACAATATAATTATAGTGGTTATATATATATATATAATCATATATATACGTATATATATATAATCATGTATATATATAATATACGCAGTGAAATTTGGGATTGAACCAGTAACAATGGGGATTCAACCTTCGACCAAAACTGCGTTTAGGAAATTTGAGATCAAACTTATTGGGGAATCAATGATCAAGACGGATTGACCCTGACACATATTGATATATATATATATATGATACATCAGGCACTATTGAAAACTAGAGATAAACATATATGGCAATATAAAATACCCTCTGGTAAACATACAAAAAGCTATTGAAAATGGCCATAGAAGTAGTGGATTTTCCCATTAAAAATGGTGATTTTCCCTAGTTATGTTAGTTTACCAGCGGGTAAACAATTGTGACTTACCTATCCAAACTACGGATGTTGCATGATTTTGCCATTAAATATGCGGCTTTAAGTAGCAAAGATAGGGATGTAAGCCGTCAGAAGGCCCACCTGCTAAAATCATGGTGAAAGTGATGTTACACGTCTAATCTACAAACAAAAAGAATGAACTTGTAAACCTGAGTGGGTTTAATACTGGGCAACTCAAAAGAGTACCTCTCGTGAACAAGGTAGGAGTGATGTACCCAGTACCCATTGCGGGATACCTATCCTGAAATCCACGGTGCACCCTATCAAACAGCGTTCTGAACGTCAGTGTGGTTAGATTCCGAAATGCGGGAAGCAATGAAATGTGCCGGATACACGCGTATATGATCGTATATGTATGTACTCAGAATTAAAGACAATTTGCGTGATTGATTTTTTTGTTCATCTTGGAGGCTCCCAAAAGTGCACCAATTCGACCCGGGGATCCAGCATGAATCATGGTTGACCGTTTTCTTTTCTTCCGGTGACCAATTATGATGGCCCTGATATTGCAGTTGATCCTCCTGGCCATTGTAAAAACACCTTGATCCTCGACCCATTTGCAAAATGAGTAAACGGACCTTAAATCTTCGCACTTTTTTGTTGCTCACCTGTCTCAAATTGAGTCAAGGATCTAGGTGTCAAGGTCTAGGTATAACATGGTATGAACATGTATTAGCAGTGTATAAACATGGTGTTACTTTGTTCTGAACGCCTGGCCTGTTTCAACAAGTCTCTTGCACACAGCAATCCACCTTGGCCACACCAGCTTCGACGGATGGTGCTTGAGCGATACTTCCCCCCAATCGCTACTACAGCATAGTGGGGATATTTAATAGGGGTTTGTATATATAATATTGCATGTATGTATGCATATATGTCTGTATGTAATGTAATATAGTGAAATGAAATGTACTGCAATCAATGTACTGTAATGTGATGTGATGTGATGTAATGATTGTAATGTAAAGTAATGTATGCATGCATTTATACTCAAATACAAATCAATATCTGAATGGCGGACAAAATTACTTACTACTCGCAATGGACATGGCAAAAGTGGGTGGTCCCCTATCGGTTGTGAAGGTTTGTACTTCCATGCTATGTGCAAAAATAGGGTATCGGTAAGTGGGCGGTCCCCTATCGGTTGTGAAGGTTTTCACACAAAAGTGATTGTCCCAAGTCCACTCCCTACTACTTTAGTTTTTCGCTAATTTTGTCAGTTACTCATAATATATATATATATATATATACATATGTATTATGTTACATTAATCCAACAATAATCCGCTGTAGTCAAAAGAGCCACAGGAATGTGAAAGTCGCTGGGAAGAATCATAGACTTCCTTAGGGATCGTCACCCATTCCAGAGACGTGGGGTCTACTACATCAGGATACCGGACTTGCTATACTACTATGGTTGTGACGGAAAATGAGGCAATTACATCATGTTTTTGATGAGAAACCAATGGAAAACATAAGTCATACAACAGACTACAATCAAAATCAGTAATTGTAAGTAATAATTCTGTAAGATTAGGGTATCAATTTGGACTATGGTCATTTCAGGTCCCTTATCCATTCAAACAAGCGGCTAATGCCAGCACCAACCACGATGACGTCCGACATGTCCGACTCATGGCCCATGGCGCCAAGCAGAAAAAATGGGGGTTATCTGACTGGAATTGATCAGTCGGGGCCCATGACTGGATGGAAACCTGACTTGTTGCTGTGCATCTAATGGAACCGAATACCGAATGGAAGCCTATAAAAGGATCAATTTGAAATCAGAAATTTTCTGCTAAACTATGATATTTCTATAAAAAGAATATTTCTATAAATAAAGGATCAATTTTCTATAAAGGATCTATTTTGAACTACAGATCGTTTGGGGGTCTATTTTGGATTTCAGCTGACTTATCCCTGCCGTGGATGGTTATGCCCGCCGCCCGAGCATTGCCAAGAGCTGGCTGGCTTAAACAATTCTTGAGAGGTGGGATGCCAAAACAGCAAAAGATCTCAGACGCTGTCAAGGTTCCCAACCTTTTGATATGGGTATGGATCAATACCTATTAATACCACTTTTAGGGGAATGAACATCCATTTACCAGCTATTTTGATGTTCACCAGGGGTACTATTGGTCTTGACACACTGCCATATCTGTAAGTCAATCCCGTTTCCTTCAACCCGGTGTGAAATCAGATCTAACTGACATGTCCAACTCCATCCAACTACATCAACAATACTCTACACTGTTTCGTCATCCAAGTGAACGTCGCCATGACAACATACTGAAGATAACCACAGCGTGCGGCCGGACGTTACCCGAGATTAGATGATTTTGATGTGGCCAGCACGTGCGGGAGAAAACCCCACAGATTATCCAAAATTGGCAGGTCATATTTTGGTTGGCAACAGCTTGCTGTATGGTTAAAACATGTTAAAACCTTGCCAACCATAGTGCTTGCATAGATGGTTCAAACATCAAACAACAATTCACATAGTTCAACTGCGTTTGCACTAGTTCACCGGCAAGATAACTCTCGCTGGCAAGTCCCCTAAAGACCTGGTTTTCTTGTCCCACTTGTGCACAT